CATGTTACATGTTGCCTCCACTTATCAGTATCCCTATCATGTGACCTTTGACCTTCACGGCTAGATACCATCTACAGACGTCATGAACTTGAATGTTGTCCCCTCCTCCAGTGTTTACCATTGTCTGCTAGTTTGCAGACGCAGACCTTGGTTAGTCGTGTTGAATAACGGTGTCTGCACATTGAGACTATAGAGACTGCACAGTCTAATGGACACCGTAGGCTTTATACTGTAGCAGCTCCAGACACAGCCAGAGACTGAGGCTCTGCTCAAGGCTTTAGGAATTGTATTTCATTGTCAAATAGGGTCTGTGGCTACTCTGTGCATGCAGACTAGCTCTGTGTGGTGTACGTGACCGATTCTGACACCGGCACCGGCGGGGTAGTCTCCCTGCGTGACGTGACGATACCCATCTAGATGTTTACGGTGGTTTCCACGGCAATCGTTGAAACTATGCACATTACCATCAGCTCTGAAAGGTTTGAGTGTAGGGTTGAAAAGGTTTCAGTGTTGACACATGAATCTCTATAGAAACAAAGCGAACCAAACTCAAGATGAATTGCAATTGAAGTTGTTGACAGAGCATTGCTTTCATTATTCCCCGAGAAGTGAAATTCTAATTTGATTGCGTCGATAATAATTGCTTTTTGGGTGGGGTACCGTGACTTGCAGATATATAACTGCTCCGCTCTGGAGTACGAAGTGTACTTTGAGAGATGAAAAAATATAGACTTTTCAAGATCAATGCAAATACCTTAGAAAATGCTGAGTGTATAACCTTTTAATATAATGTAATGATATTGGATGTTGTCAAAGTGCTTATCGTCACCACTCAGTAGTGTTCTCGATTGATACTTCAGTGAAATATAAACCCCTACAGAAAGTTCATGAAAAAAATAAAGTATGGTGATATTGGTTGTTAAGAGAACTGTTTGTTAGCTTCTTATCGTGCTGTATGCATTGGTCATCAAGAAATCAGTAACCAATTTGCGAATCATTTATGAAAATATGGAGAAATTCAAGTGTTGGATCAAATTGATCGAATAGTTTGGCATGCTGCGCCCCATCAGTAAATCATGAGTCCTATTTGTTTTGTTATTCATACGGGGAAGCGAGATGGGTTTTCCCTCTAGATGTAGGGTGAGTTAAGAGTTTTGACGCGTCACAATTCCTAGAAATCCAGATCTACAATCAGTCGCATGTTCAGAGTAGGGTAAACAAACTGAGCTTTAAAGTCAATCAATCATGCAAACATGTGTACGTCTGCGTGACATTCATGTTCTCTGTCTGTCATGTTCCATCTTACGGAGAGAGAGTAGATCATCTGTTTGAAGCCGGAAGAGTTCTAGCCCTGTATAAATGTTCACTCACTTCCGGCTCCAAACAGATGAAATATGTTTCATGTTTATTACGGTATATGAATGCGAGGGATATCAGACTACATATACCTGTCAGCATTTAGACAAAATATTACTTAAAAACTTCTCTGTACATACATGTAGCTTGATGCCACGTCATCATTTATACAATCAATTACAAGTAAAGTGAAAGGTTATATTCTGGCACCAAACAGACAAAATGTGCTTCATGTTTATGATATGAAAGGCAATTAATATCAGATTACATACAACTGTTGGCATTAAAAATGAAATTACTTAAAAGCTCAACACTCATGTACATGTACATACATGTAGCTTGATGCCACGTCTTCATTTTTACAATCAATTAAATATGTGAAAGGTTATACTGGTACTAGGTCATTTCAATATTGAACAAACTGAGAGAGGCCGTGCAAAGCTGAAAGAAACTTGTGAAACCGAGAGAAAGAAGTTGCTTGTATGATTTGCAAATATTCTGGCAATCAAAACCTTTTTTTAATTGTCATCATCCTAGCTCGTTTCCTAAGGTGTGGCTGTTATTTGAAATGTCTTTTTTAGGGCCAGAAGGGCATTACCTCTATGTATTATCATATGAAGTAGGATCTGTCTTGCTCTCAACATGTTTTGAAAGCTGTTCTTGGTTTGATCCGGAAGGCCATTAAAGCTATGTTGCATGAAATGCTTCATGACCCTTCTGGCACTCAACATGTTTTGAAAAGTGGGCTTAACATGTTGAATATCCATTGAGAGCCAGAAGGGCATTAATTCTGTGGTATCATTATGAATAACATGTGCCTTCTTTCTCAAGATGATTTTATTTTGAAAGCTGTGCTCTTGTTATGTCACCTTTTGGTCGGAACCAGAATATCCCATCCATTGTATGCAGGATAGATTAGTGCCCTTATAACTCTCAAAAAGATAGATTTGTTCTGCAAGGTCCCTTCTACCTCACAAACGGATAGATTTATTTTGAACGCTGAGCTTGTCATGTCACCTTTTGGTCGGAACCAGAAGGTCGTTCAGGGTATATTACATCATATGCAGGAGTGCCCTTTAACTATCAAACTGATAGATTTGTTTTGAAAGCCGTGCTTGTTAAGTCACCTTTTGGTCGGAACCAGAAAGTCGTTCAGGTTATATTAAATCCCATGCAGTAGTGATTAGTGCCCTTCTAACTCTCAAACAGATAGATTTGTTTTGAAAGGTGGGTAAACAACGCTAGGTCAGTTCCAAGGTCCGCATGGAGGTTGACAGATGCCGCGATATCGTGTCAGGACCTTGTACCGATGCCACATCGAGCCTTCTAAATCCATTATATGATCACCTGAAAGCTAGGCTTGTCACGCTCACGCGCTCGAATGGAGTAGCTGTGTTTCACAGACTCTTGTTCAAGTTCACAATGATGTCCATGGACTTGGACTTGCAGTTCTATCAATTTCTCTCTCCCCCTGTTCAGCACTTAACATAATTTTTCTGCTGAGAATCACGGGGGAATTCAGATTTTTTGTTCCTGGACTTCCTGCATCTTTCTTCTCTCTTCTTTCATCATCATGATTTGCTAAGAGCCATATATGCATTAAAGAATGCCTTTTATAGGCAGATGATCTCTAAAGGAATATTCACTAATCAATATATTTGATATTTTTACATGTGTGTGGGGACTCTGGGGAGGGGGTACCCCTTGTAACATTAACCTTATTTCTCTGGTGAAATGTGAGAGTCGATGTTGAGGCAATTCAGGTGTATTGGGTCATGAAATGTTATGGTCCTTTCTTAATGTCCTCATGTTAGGCTGTCTTTCCAGTCTGTGGCGTCTCCAGTCTGTGGCGTCTCCTGCAATGACGTAATCTTCCTTCACATTTAGGTGTCTGACATGCAATAGGAAACATTTGTCACGTCCTTACTTGAGCAATTTGTTCTGGCGTAGCCGTCTATTGGCTTCAAAGAGTCTGCAATATGGCGCTCATTCTAGACTAACTTCCTCTCTTTCATAGTCATATGACCTGGGACTATTGGTATTGAGGTTAATATGGTTTTTATGGGCTATTATTTGCTCTGTCAATGATCTGTGATCGATAATCTTGCTGTAATATTTTGACAGATCTCTTCCCCTCTCTCTTTCTCTCTCTCTCTCTCTCTCTCTCTCACTTTCTCTCTATATAAATATCTCTTCTCGATCTCTTTTCATCTGTTGCTCTTTTGTCTCTAATCTCTTTTTTTTTCTCTTTAATCTTTTCTCTCTGTCTCCCTCTGTCCCTCTCTTTCTATCTCTTCAATATTTTTTTTCTCTTTCCCTCTCTCTCTCTCTCTCTCTCTCTCTTTCTCTCTCTCTTTCTCTTTCTCTCTCTTCCTATTGCTCTCTTTGTGTATCGGTAATGCTCTCATCCTGATAACCAATCCTGAAGTAGAAATGAAAATATTGATCAATCTAAATAAAGTCCTCTAATGTATCCAATGCCTGTTTAAGGGTCGGGTCGGGTCTGTGTGGGTTTTTCCAAGGGAAGTCCATGAAGCAATACGAGGTACACGCACTCTCGAGTTACGGAACTCTGGCTTACCTGCCTGACCTATGGAAGTACGACTCCTTACATTTTGTGCTTACATCAGACAGTACAATGTGAACAGAGAAGTCGGAAGAATCAAAACAAAGGAGACAAAATGAAACAAAACATAGTGAAGGGGAAAGAGAGAATTAGAATAAACAACAATAACAGAAACAACACATCATAGAAATGATAAAGGTGGAAGACAGTAGACAAGAATAGGATTTGTCATGTTATTCCAGTTGCAATTCAATCAACACAAGGAAAAAAATCAATAAACTTATTTAATTCAGAATCATATGATATAATAATATAAATTGTTCTTACTTAATTTCTGCAAGTTATAGCCAGATCGCTGAGAACTGTTGCCCAAGATCTGAGCATTATTATTTTGTTGAATACCTGAGAATTGTATAGCACATCGAGTATGAAATTGGCGGTGAGGTTTCCAGGGTAGGAAGCTCATTATGTAGAGAGAAAGAACGAAAGAGCCTAGAGCCAGGGGCTAAAAGCTTTTTGACGGATTACATCCAGGTTTTCACATAAAATATTGATGTACCAGGGATGAAGATTTCACAATGTAGGTCAGGGGAAGAAAAAAAATTGGAATCTGAGAAAGAGAGGTAGAGTGAGAGAAGAGAGAGAGGGAGAGGAAAAAGCATTACGATAAGCATGAAAATATGATGGCTCAAATTATAGGGAGTGTTTGTCAAGTTCAAAACATTTCTTTTATTATATTGCGTGTCAAATACATTTTGGAAAGTGGTTTCTTGTTTGCCCTAGGTGGGGTATTTGTTTAGTATGATGGATTTGACATATTTAGGCTGATTCAAAATTGGGATAATAAGTCTAAATGTGCATATGTTCTTTATTCTTTTCTTGCTTGTGTAGGCCTTGGTTAAGGGTCAAAATAAGATGTTTTCATACAAATGTTCATCAGGATTTGCTCCTGTGTAATTTCATTACCATAGTTTCAACTTTCAATCTCACCTCTACAGAACGTGCTTGATCAAACCTGAAATACCTAAAAAAACTAATAACAATCTTTCCTTTAAAAAAAAATCTTTGTCACTTGCAGGACTTGGTTAAGAGTCACTTACTGTTTGCAGTGAGGGAGGAGGTGGAGGTCCTGAAGGAGCAGATCAAGATCCTGCTGGAGAAGAACGACCTTCTCCAGGAGGAGAACGCTGCCCTCAAGCAGAGATTACAAGCCAGCACAGCCCCGCCCCCGCAAGGAGGAAACCCCGCCCCCGTCCTGGCCATGGCCAACGCCCCACAGCAACCCACCCTAACGCAGTCGCACCAAGGCATGCCGTCACAGGTACGTGATTGACTCCCAACATGTCCTCATTGCAGAAGGTGCAAGTCAGGGGGGAGTTTCACAAAGATCCTAAGTTGAACTTATCTTTAAGTTGGACTTAACTATGGCAGGCCATTCATGCCAATGTTCGCTCTCACTATTGGTCTCTCAATTATGATCTTTAGATAATATTTTTTCCTTAAATAATGAACTACAGTATCAACAAATGTAATTTCTGTAGATTTGTACGCTCCTTGAGAAACCAATGCCAGGAATGGTTTTGAGCAACTAGTGACATGAATGGCCTGCCATGGTTAAGTCCAACATAAAGTCAATCTTAGTCTTTGTGAAACACCCCCCTGGAGTGGTGATCCGATGCATGCTCCAGCAACATTTGCGTGCGGCTTTAAATTGTCGGATTGCTGAGAGCCAGAAGGATCTTAGGTCAAGTCTTTTACATAGACTTAATGCCTGTGCGGCTCTCAACAGAAGACGTGCAGGGTCAAGATTACTGCTAGCTACGATCAGGTTTTAGTTTAGGTTAAGGTTTTGGCAGTCTCAACACCAACAGGCACTTATGACACTATCCCCCTGTCCACACACAACATTTTCCGTGATTAGGCGTGATTAGCTATACCGTTTCGCGATAGTGATACCGTTTCGCGATAGTTTTACGATGAAAATTGTGTGTGTGGACGCTCACTAACGATACGTCGTATAACGAAACTAGTCTAACGAAACGTAGGTTTGGGCATCGTTTCGAACTGAAACTCAATAAAGAATCACGCCTAATCACGGAAAATGTTGTGTGTTGACAGGGGGAGTGTAACTAGTGTAACTAACTGGGCGGGGCTTAACGTGACCTCGAGCGAAAGGAGACCAGACCTCTCATTTAGCTTCCATTTCATGACCGCAGTAGCAAACTGCGCACCTATACGACGTGTCGCTGTAGAGTTTCAGGATTACTTTCTTCTGTGTGTGGACATCCTGGAATTTATACGACGTTTCGTTATTGAGTTTCGGGACAAATTATTTTGTGTGTGGACACGCTGATTGGCACCTCAAGTAGGTACCTCCAAAATTCCATCGTTGGGGCTTATCAACAGACCCTAACAATTTCAATTCCAATCCACTATAAAACAGATGAGAATATTAGCTCTTTGGGAGGCTACCTTTTGAAGCCTAAAGGGTATTTGACTCATCAATTGCCTAATTAACAAGACCATATGATTTCAGATTTGGCAACATTTATCTTAGTAGGTAAGATGATTGAGGATTTTGTTTTTATATTTAAAAATCTATCGAAGAGTGGCGAATTGGCAATGCTATCTGAGCACATTTCCAGGATGAGAATTCTTAGCAACAGACACACAGTCCAATTAAATTTTGGTGAATAGTTGACACATTTAGGGGGATTAGTTTAATGAATTGGCAACCTCTTATCCCAATAGATTAAGAGATATAAAGTACAAGTACCAGTACACTTCCCATTTATTTTCCCCCAAAAAAATCATTTGGAAGTCCACTTTGCCTATTTGAAGTGCAGTGTGAAAAACATTCCATAAAGATATATGGACATTTAAACATGAAAATTAGCACAAATCAAAATTGAAAGTGAAGTCCTTTCTTCCTTTCCTTCATCCTTTCTGTCTCGAAGTGGGTGAGTCAAGAAAAAGGAAGGATACGTCCTTAACAATGAGATCATGTAACTCCGAGGAAGGGCAGAGCCAGAACAATGTTCTTGCCACTCCTATAGTCCGTTCAGACTATAGAAAATTTGTATAAAGAACTTTTATAAAGAACGTTTTATAAAGAAAATCGTGAGGGACATACATACTAGACGATAACATTGTATGATGAAAGGTCATTTAAAAAATATTTTTGATGAGGTCAATTGACATAACAGCTGACCAATCATCAGTGCACGCTCACGATAAGCCCCGCCCAGTTATACAATTTCTGTGCCATGCAACATTAGGGACTTTTAGATTCGCACAAAGACAATGGGGATTGCTACGATCGAAGTCCTTTTAATGCACTGCCTTGAATGGACGTCACACGTATCAGTCCACGCAAATCTAAAAGTCCCTATTGAGACTACAACGGGACCCTGATTCTTGAATGAGCTTTCATTCAGAACATGCTTTATGCTGTGTGACGCAATGTCAGGCAAACATGCATGTCATACACATCACATCACACATGTGGAAATTACTGTGCTGGTGGTCGTAAACAAGATTAGCCATTCCAATCCCGCAGATCACTGGGGATAAAAACAGCTGTCAAGTTGGGCGAATTCATGTCAGGGTTTTACTCATGGAGTATGATGTAGCATTAATTCAGAGTGAAAATTTAAAAAGGGATTAAAAAGGGGAAGGAGAGTGGAGAAATTGATTCCTTGTAGTAGAAAAAGGGAGAACAAAATTGTTGTTCAGGAAAGTTGGGTTTAGTTTTTAAAAAGCCATTGGTCTTTGGCTTCAAAAAATATATCTGAATCTAATCTGCTTCTCTAGAAATTGGTTTTTATCTCTAGACTTTTATACATTCACTGCACAAAATACCAAAGAGTTTCAAAATTTTCTTACAAATTTATGCATATATTTTTCATTTCGAAATGATGAGGTATTCTGACTTGGGGCTAATACAGGTCCTGAGGTTATAACCCCAATCTTCTCACGCTCTGCTCTAAGTGAGAATGAGATTTATGAAAGTGCTTTTCGGTTCACAGACTCTTTCCCTCAATCCATTAGGTTCCAGATAATAGTCATTTGAACCCTGCCCGACATGTACTTGAACTTTTCTTTTGGAGGTACCTGCCCTCTCAAACATACAAGTGCAGTGTTGTTTGTGACATTTCAACAATGCTAGATGCTTCCATTGTCATTCTGAATTACTGTTTAGAGTTCATGCCTCTGAAAGCATGTTTGAAACCTTTGAAAGGCTTTTCAAATGCTTTCAAATCACGATATTGACTTGGACTGCCAAAACCTGAACCCTATCGACTCGTTCAACAATTGATCGCTCAAAAGAAAAGTGCAACGTAGCCGAATAGAAATTTCTGAAGGGTCACATCCCTAAATTGACCTGCATCTGAGGGTTTATATCCCGTTTGGAGCCAGATGGGCAATAACTCGTTCAATTTTATGCAGATTTAACTTCTTTTTGGTTCCAAATGATTAAGAATAGGTTTTATTTAGATTAAAATAACACAAATTAGGTGTATTTTACAGTTATGGCAAGGTAATTGTTTTGAAATAAGCTGATATTTCCTGTGGCCTTACCATTAATCGTGTCTCCATTGTCTTCTGTGTTTTGTTTGTATACAGGATCAGCCACAGTATCCCAACATGCCAAATCAGATGGGTCAGAATCTAGGCCAGAACCCTATGGGTCAGACCTTATCGGACCATGCTGCCTACCCCCAGCACCCGAGACCAACCCAACAGACGCACAGCACCCCTAACCCAGGAGGCCTAGCAGACGCCAACCCGCAGTACACGCCGCAGAGCAGCGTAGAGTCCCAGGGGCAATACCACAGCGCACACTCACAGCTACAAGCACAGCAGCAGCAACAGCAGCAGCCTCAAGGGCAGCAGCAACATCTATCACAAGGGATACAGCAGGAGAGGCCGCAATACTCGCAGGTCGCTGGTGCAGCCACGGCAACCCAACAACAGACACCGTCGCAAGCAACGACGCAGCAGTACCACACGTCAATGGCACCGGGTGCTGCGGGGAACCGACCAAACGCAACGCACTGACGCTCTAACCTGCGGGACCCGCGTGGGAAAGCGATTGCTACGTTGCGCCCTCCCCTGAGAGATTAGCCAAAATTGACTGTGCTACTCAGCGAATATGCATTCCATCTTGTGAGACTGCTTGTGTTGCTCTATCAGTGCTGAAAACCCACCTCTCATTAAAGATCGCTCGCTAGCTACTATCCTGCATCTTGAGCTCAGCTGTAGTATTTAGTTGATAAACCTGGACAACGTCGTCAGAGAGCCTCTGATGGCATTACAGCGGTCAAACAGCGAGAAGAAGAAAAGACTGTAAACCTGAGGAAGAACGTGATGATACTTATTCCATCGTATATGCCAGTATAAAAGATGTCGAGAAAAAAAACCTAGTCCATTATCACAGCAATAGTCTGTATATATATATGATATGACATGGGCAAGATCAAATATGTTTTCTTTGCAAAAGTACGATAAATGTGATCTGTATGTCTATATGATACTGAAGATGCCTACTTGTATGATCCAAGTTATGTACTGCTGAACTATGTTCTTTGTTTGGCTAAGTCAAATAGCCAGGATGTGCCTATTTGTTGTTACGATTATTGTTCTGTATTACGCTGATTGCCGTACATTGATGAAACTATCGAATAACCGTAAAATAACGCAGTGAAAGGAACTAACGATCGATATACCACACTCGAAGTTTACTCGTCAACACTTTTACTAACCACTTTATATTTCATTAGATCTTACGTACACTGTAGCTGTAGAATTAACTTACTTCGTAGAACCGTAACCTTTGAGTTATCAGCCACATCTGAAGAGGCATGAGCCAACACTTTTCCGTACCTTAATTTGTTGCACGACTCGATATATTTTTGATGGAATTGTTTGATATGTTTGTGCCTGTCACATCTACATTTACTCCAAGGTGCTCTTTTAAATGATACTTGTTATTAAGTTTACATATTTTGTTGTCATTTGTTGTCTTGTCTTTACGGCAATTTTTTGACGGATAGCAAATTCTGTTATAAGATTACCTGCTTCCTGAAACGCTAGTGATTTAACACAATCCCTTCCTTTTGAGCTCAAAATGTTGAGCAATGTTCTGTAGTTTTGGTTGTATGGAACTAAAAGAATGTTAGGTTTCTACTTTTCCCTCCTGATGATCGCCCATTTCCTGGGGCAATGGTTATTTTAATGCCATCGCTCCTGATGTTAAACCGTATTAGATTATGCAGTCATCGGCCTCTACTGTGGAACTGTGAAAAATGGATATGTGATGCTAGTTTCACTTCTGTCTCTTTGTCCCCCCAAATTCCCATGATTTTCCTAGGATCACCTGTAAAGGATCATCGATACCTGATTTTAATTAGAGCAGTTATTGCGCTGCCATCTGCCTTAATGATATCCTGCAGATCAATCTAATCCCAGGTACTCAGTGATTATCTTCCCATCTTGTTCAAATCGATTTCCCTGAGCTGCCAGAGAAGTTCCATCTTTCCAATTCCATCTTTATTCAATTTTGAGGCCCCGTACTTCACTCCATTTCTGGGGTTTTGTCATGTTTTCTGTTCACACAATATCGTAAAAATTATATGATTTTAAAAGAATTTAATCATCCTCACATGACACCTTCCTTTTCTGAAAAAACATCCAGCTTCTCATTCAGTTCCATAGTTCCCTAGCTGTCATTAAATTGGCAACACAAATTGGCAACATATATTTATTTTCTACATTTTTAGAAACTTTTCACATGTGTTACTTCCGAATTTTCTTCTTCGTATTTAAGTAAAAAAGGTTGTGCTATCCAGTTAAACTGTTGTATTTTTTAACTGATTTTTTTTGTTTAAGAACAAGATGATTAGATTAAGTATGTTTACATCTTCCAGTGGTATGTGTTAATGGCTACCCTGATTATTATTATCACATTTAAATTCAATTTGAATTAAAATGATTTTAGCTTTCTATATACCAAAAAAGAAAGTGTTGGAAAAGGTCCCAAATTGGTTTGATTAGTCTGTTATGTTTATTTTTAAAAAAACAGAAGATGGAAATTAGAATTAAGAGAAAAATGCTAAGTTAAAGGAGATCTTCTTTCGATGTTAAAGCAATCTGAGATTTCCATAATCTGTTTTTGTCTGATTAGTTTGTGAAAGTTTCAAACCAAGTTTCAAATATCTGTGTTGAAATTATCAAAGAAAGTACATAGTTTGCATCATTATCTTGCAACTCTATCCAAAGTTTTTTGTTTCTATGATCGTTTATAAAGAATTGGAATTGTGTGAATGTGCAATTTATATTTTTCTTGTTAATTTGAGTCGTGCACATGATGTTGTCTTCAATTATGATTTCACAATATTTAATTGCTTCCAAGAAAACTGTGTATGAGTGAATGGAGTGCTTGAGTTTGATTGGAGTCGAGTGTGGAATGTGTTTGATGTCTTTAAAGAGTCGTAATGAAGGATGAATTATGCGCATTTGTGTACAGTAACTAAATATAGACTTGAATTTTCAGACTTGTATGCATCAATCTTCGGTCGTTTTTTAATATATACGAGATATAACGTGTAATGTCATGTGATGTATAGAGGAAAAGAGAAATAAAGATTTGATTTTGGAAGACAAAAACAATTCTTCAGAAGGAAAACTTTGTGTGATATCTCCCCCTTAAAGTTAAGAACTGTTTCACTTACAGGCAGTATGTATCTGCTATCTACTGTGATATTAATAAATATATCTACTATATAGGGATTATATTTGAAATGCATGATGCATTTACTATCTTCAAACAAAAATTGTCATTCCCTGTGAAGTGTATCTCACTGTAGTATTTTCGAGAGGTTGAGAGAAATATATATTGTTTGTTTCCAACTCTACAAGCAGAACAATCAAAAGGGGACTTGGAAAACACTTTTTACTGGGAAAAATAGGGTAAAAATAACTACTGCTACATAAGAACAGCAGCCCAAAACGAAGGAAAACAAAAAATAAAGAAGAAAAATATGAAATTGGTTTAGAGGAGATGTTTTGATGTTTAACTTTATTCACGACAAAAATATACTGCAAGAGAAAACAAAATTATGAAAACGGAGCAATATCCTGATATATATTTTCAAACTAAATATCAATTTCGAATCTGATTATTTATGTATTTTCCCTAAAATATTTGTTTTTCCAAGTCATGTATCAAACTACCGGACTATTCTCGGCAGATAATGTATTTAAAGAATATGACTAATGACTTGTTTGTTTCAACAACGTTCTATCAAGATATGAATCGTCGCAAATGTGGATGAAGTAGTTCTGTAGTATTAAGCGATATGTTGCTTACAAGACCAATGTTTTGCCTTGTAGGATAGCTGTCAGTCATTGGAGCACTTTATGGTGTTTGCACATTCCATCTAAGTTGCACTTAACGAAGAAAAAAGGAAATATATTTATGCACACTCACTAGATATCCCTATTGTATCACACTCTTGTAAGTTGATGAACTTCTCATGAATTCTTAGTTTCTGTCCCCAAAATGTGGCTCTTCTCACAATCTGGTAGTTTGAAATAGCCTAGTGTTCCATCATTTAGATAAAATGTTGGCATGCATCAATTATGAACGCCATCATGATATGGAGTGGGCATTACTTCTGCTGTTCATACATTATATACATAATAGTGTTGTAGTTCGTTGACAGTGGCGTGCAGCATGCATAGCCATCTACATAACATTCATATTGTAAGAATAATAAGCGTTTGTCTGAATACCGTAGTATCTAATATATTTGGATCTCACATACGATGTTATCATAGGAAACTCTGTGTTCCATTATCATAGTCATATCCCTCACCTTGCGAGCATGAAGATGAAACCCTAATCCGTATTTCCATGTTGTCTGTTCGGAGCCAGAAGGGCGTTAACTCCGCTCAAGGAATTGAGTTGACGCCCTTCTACTTCCAAACGGACGATATGACTATAGCTGTCGATCTGTCATTGCACAATTCATGCAGTGTATGAGGTGGGCTGTGAAGCTATTATATTCCAATTCTATTAACACAAATGTAGTGACGATGAATAATAATGGTCTAACTTTATAGGTATAGGTAGGTTTAGGTAGAGAGAGTGAGATAACCGCTCCATGAGTTATATCGTTTATGGACAGAAGGACGGAAGATCTTGAATTGCAAGTTGATATTGTTATTACAGTGATGTTAACGTATATGTACGATGATGAGGCGTTGTTGTTGCCGTGGAAACAAGAATTCGGCACTGGGGAAGGCGGGATGCTGTATTTTGTTTGGAACCAACCTGTGTGTGAGATATTAAAAAAACTTTGATTTAAGATTTGGGGTATACAGTACTGCATATAAGACATACATGAATAAAAGAAAATAAATCACGTTGCATCCTGAAAAAACAATACTTTTGTTTGTTGCTTTGCTTTTTTTGAGTCAGTTTGAACAGAATGAGAGAGTCTTGATATGTGAAATATTCTATTATTGTTATGGATTGCTAAGTATGAGATAGGGAGAGTGAGAGAGGATGAGGATGAGGAGGAGAGAGAGAGAGAGCGTAGAAGATTCAGGGAGGGGCAAATGAAGTGGAGAGAGGGAGTGAATAAAAGAAGAGAGAGAGAAAGGAGGAACAAGGAAAAATAATAAGAGGAGAAATGTGGAATGAAAGGAAATGTAGAGTGGACAAAGAAACCAAATAACGAGATGGAGTGATACATTAAAAAGATGAGAGAAAGGATGGGAAAGAATTAAATGAATAAAAATGTGGAGGGAAATGGTTAAATGAGATAGAGAATGGCAAGCCAAGAAAGAAAAGATTTAAAGGCTGAGAGATAAGATAAATGAGTGAAAAAGATTTAAAGATATAAGAAAGAAACTGTATTTTGTCTTTTTGCCTCCCATTTCATCTATCTCCCTCTCTCTATCTCTCTCTCTCTCTCTCTCGCTCCCTCCCTTTCTCTTTTTCACTCTCTCCATCCCTCCTTCCAATCACTTCTTCTTTTCCTCTCCATCTTTAATTCTCATCCTGACCACTGTTGGCTTACTATTTTCATCCTTGACATTGCTTTTCTTGACCAAGATTCATAGGCTAAAATGAGAGCATTTCTCTTCTAATACCACTTGTATAAGAGTCCAGTAAACACAATGTAAAATATCTGCAATCTCTTTCCCCATCACTCGTTTCTTCTCCTGATCTTTACCAATACCCTTTTACTATTTTCATCCTTCAAATTCCGATAAAACTGAGCTACAGAGATGATGAGAGCAGGTCTCTACCAACCCATTTATTATTTAATGGGTGAGAGAAAAGAAGAGTTCATGTAAAAAGTCTGCCATAGAGGGCACTTGTCAGGTTTTTCTCCAAGTCACCACCTTTGGATTTTTCTCTTCACTTTCAGCAAAATGGATTGGTGGTCACGGTGAAGTTGGTTATGTTATTTGATAGAAAGACTTGTTCAGCAAAGGAATCTGATCTTTAAGGCTGGTTTTAATCCCCCATCTCCAATAAATAAATAAAAGAAGAAAGGAGAAGAAGAAGGAGTCGAAGACGGAGGAGAAGAAGGAAAAGAAGAAGAAGAAGAAGGAGTAGAAGAAAAAGACGAAATAGAAAAAGAAGATTTTTTTTGGTTATAATTTGGTACTCTCTTTTTAGACTCTAAATTATTTGTTTACAAGATGATATCATATGAAAGTAATTTCATCCTTGAACTAGAAAATGGACAGAAAAATTTCTTCGACGAAGTAAAAACTTAATAAAAAATGTAAAAATATGTTTGACAGTTTCAAAAAGTGTATCTCGTTGGTCCTCATCAGCACTGAAATTTGGCCTATGATTCAGACGCAAAAATCTAACCTTTGTTTGCCCAAAATCAATAGTTGAAATGAATTCAGTTAACAACTGAATTATAAATTTGATGTTTTTTGCGCATTTCGTAACTCAATAATGAAAAGTGGACTAGTTGAATTGGGGTCTTTGTTGAATATAGTACTTTTAGATGTAATCTTTGATATGCCACATTCTCAAGAAAAATTAATTAGGACAAATCAATTTTTCATCAACTTGTAGAATTACAGAACTTGGTAAGGGAATGCATAATTTAGTTTATTGTAGCTCTTTTCTTTTATATGCGCTTGTGACGATTCTCGTTCTCAACGGAGGGGAAAACACGTAACATCTCTGTTCCCAAAATACCTGAATACCCTTCTCTCCTCCTCCCTTTTTGTCTCTCTGTCTTCCACACACACTCTCTCTCTCTTTCTCCATTTATGTATCCCTGTCCGTCTCTCTCTTGCTCTCTCCTTTGTTTTCCATTATCATTATTCATCTATTTCTCTCTTCTTATTGCCATTTCAAGGGAGGTAAATTACTGTTACCTTCCATTACGTTACCGTCTCCCTCCCCCATTTCAAATGTTTTTAAAAAAATATATATAATAATCCCCACACAGCGAACACATAATGCCAGTCAAACAAATGGAAGTTGATCACATTTTCCCTCCAGTCTCTTTCACTAATAAAGTCATTTCTTCACCCATGAGAATTTTAGATTTGATTGCAACAGTCGAGCATGTCACTCTAGGCCTGTTTTCATCAGCTCGAGTTTGACAAATAACCTGCTATTTTTATTATCCCAATAGCAAATTAATCAGTTAATTTGCATCCTCATCAGCCCGCAGTTGCAATTAGCAGGATATTTGGTCGAGAAAATATCCAGAAAAATCTTTGTCTTGTTTCCAAAATATCCGGCTATTTGGGAAATAGCGGGCTAATTTTGTGCCTGTCCGAGCTAGTTTGTGATGAACATATCAGTCTGGTGAAGACGCAATTTCGAGCTTTAGGATAATATCCAGAGTCTGAAAATAGCAGGTTATTTGGCAAACTCTTTTGGGTCGTTTTGGTAGCCAGATAGCCCAGTTTAGTTTTTCCACGTACCTATTAAAGCAACAGCTTATGTCGTGCCCAGATTGACAAAATTATTTTTTTAGAAAAATGCAAACATGCATTCCAATGCCTCAATCACACCTTTGCGTATTTGACTTGCATATTGCTGTGTTTTTATGGCAAGCCGTTTTAACATTCATTCCTATTTCTTGTAAAACAATAATAATTCTTGATATCAAGAAATAGGAATCAACGTTAAAATGGCTTGCCATAAATACGCAGCAATACGCAATCCAAATACGCAAAGGTGAGACTCAGGTAATAAGGAGGCGTGAGTAGTCATTAACATATTTAAGAGAAGAAAAAGTACATTTTATTCAGATCGAAATAGAGGACATATATATTACTTTGCTTTCATTTTCAGAACATGACTTGAAAACAAAGAAGTCAAGGAAATGGACAAACACGATGCACATTGAGAACCAAATTCTTGAGAAAATATGTGGCTAGTCCGATACTTTGTGTATGATAATGCAATGTGAATGTGCAGTACATAGATTACAACACAGTTTTGAGGCGGATTTAAACATACAAGTAGAAAATACATCAAAGTATTATTCAGACCTAATGCCTATCTTCTTCTGGGTGATATTCAGTCTCTCACTTTTATTGATTATTCCCATTTTTCTTGGTCTGTGAGAGAGATTAGAATATGCCACAAAATTGTCTGTTCGGAGCCAGAAGGGTGTCAAATCATAAAATTAAACAGACCTAATGGCCTTCTGTCTCCAAACAGACAAAAACATTACTACAACTAATATTGGCTTGTGAACCGACAGCGGTTATAGGAGTATTATCTCTTTAGCAATGTTTTGAATCTTGCATTTTTGATCACGGCAAACATGAGGCATTTTATTGTGCAAAATCCATTAACTTACGACCTATAACTTTCTACCTGCATAAAGGGAATATAAAATAGAATTTCTTTCATCTGTCCTTAATGCTACTTTCTAATATGCTACGTTTACATCTGAATTGTTCAACCTTAACTTCTTGCTTTAATACTAATACGCTAAAATCCCTACATACAGCTGGCTTTAAAGTTCTATATAGATATCTTTTTAAGAGTTTGACAAAAATGAAAAGAATGGTAATGTCATTTAAATACAGCTCTATAGAATCAACATGGAATAGGTATTTTATAATTATTTACAGAAATATTCAAAATCAAACTCCATACGCCACGACCCAACATGATCCATGTTTTACCTGAAAGTGAATTATTTGGTGCAGTCTGTGTAGATAGATTTTCTCTTATTAGTCAAGAAAACCACACAGCTTAGGCAGAAAAGAGGCTGAAAAAAATTAATTATCACAGGATCGAGCCTCATTCAGATATGACGCGCCAAAACGGCAGCATTTTTTTTTTTAAACGCCAAAAAAATGCAACGTATTTCACATTTAGCTCTGTTATAACGCAGAGCTAAGTGAATATGCGAAGGACCTTTGTTCCCAACAGTTGCCATTCATTTACATTTTTTTTTAAAGAAGAAGAAAAAAAAAAGAAGATTATTGCGGTGGTTTTTCACGTCATATCTGAACAGGCTTTTAGAGAGTTAGATTAAGAGATGTATAAAGCTACTGCTTGAGTGCATAACATGAAGTTGAATTCTTATTTGTTTACTTCGACATCAACTACAATAGACATTACAAAGAGATTAACCAGTGAGGGGGAATCCCCAACATATCCCACAGATAACCCAAAACATGAAAAGGGAATTTCCCAGTGATTAATCCCATCATAAAAATTACCATCGATAACAATTAATGGCATTTTCATTTCAAAGCAACCAAAGGGGTGAAGAAATATGACTTTGAAAAAACGAAAAATGAGAGAGGACGAATAATAAAATAACCCAAGATACCTGAATATAAAATTCATGTGCAATACCAATCAAAGACTTTTAAAGCTATGGACATATTGTACAGATAGCAGTTTCTCATTACCATAGTAGCAATAAGATAAATTAACCCTGAAAAGAGGCACAAACCATAAACCAATGCCAAAAAATAGAAAGAGGGGCATAGTAATACTTTGACGTACAATTCATGATGACAAATACTTTCCATGCAATATTTACTGAAATGCAGAAAAACATTCATGAAATTAATTCGTCATTATGATTATGATAGCTTAATACATGTATACGATTATCTTGAATTTGGTCAATTAAAAAGCACACATGGTTTGTGAATTTGGGCCTGGCCATTTTTTATCTAAGTGTACATGTTCTCCTCTACATGAATAACATAAATGGCAAACCGTATCAAGACAAAATTAGATCTGTGATCTAACCATTTCCTTCTTCATTACATATAAATACATCAGCGGTTGTCCAGGCTATTTTCATTCATAAAACAATTTGAAAATCTCTCCATCAACAAAAACTTAAAACTTGTCAAAATAATCACCACACAATCTTAGGGAGCAAAGTAACATATTACTTGATTTGGCGCCATGTATGAATTGGCAACACTTTTATTTGCACATTTAAGATAATAATTGGTCAATGAGCTACCTCTCTGTAAGCGTGTCACAGTTGAAGTGAACAAATGAAGGTTAATTTGTGACCATAATTATAGTTTTGTTATGCAGTATGATGTGGAATAATTTTTTTTTGGTGCAAATGAAGAAAAAATGTGCAATGAGTAATATCTGATTAACATTTCTCTTGAGAAAAAGTAAAAGCAGAAAGAAAAAAACAAGAAGAGGTAACGACTAAGAACAATGTTTAAAAAAATAAAAATGTTAAAGGAATTGGCAGATTGTATATTTAAAAACACAATTAGCATACATGCATTTTCTCACTCGTGCATTTTCGAAAACTATCATCTTCACAAAAACAGCAAAAATATTTAATCTTGATTTTTTTGTAAATTATCATCAATCTCTCAACTGTCACAAAAAAACACTTGTGGCAAGCGAGACAACGAATATTTGACAACTGAATGATACGAGAATGACATTCAACTGTATTTTGTTTAATGTTACGTAATATAGGATATACTTAAAGAGTAAATGTAATTGGTAAAACCCTCAAATGTTCCATTTACAAAAGAAGAAACACATTGTGACACTAACATGAAACACATTAAAAATTTGTTCCAAACATTATAATTACTGTTTACAGGAATGTGAAGAATACTTAAAAGAAAAGAAAACAAAGTGGAATATTATATTCATCACATAATTTAATTTTAAAAAAAAGAGATTACGCTGAATTAAAAAAAATTTGTGAGAATATTTTGAATCATGAATTGTTTAAACTGGTGCTTTGTACGATATCCTGAAAAAGTGGATATCTCTTAGAAATATTTCTGTTTTTAGATTGTCCATTACATCTCGAAAGCATGCAATACCAAGAAGTGTCCCAATCCCTAGTATAAATTAAATTAAGTAAATTCTCCATTTAAACACAGAAAAGAGCATTGTTTAAAGGTCATATTTCATATTGCTAGTGTTGAATCAAACATAAGGGGAATTTACTGTTTCAATTCATATTAGGCTTTCAATTATTTTTATCAAATTCTATTTCACGTGGTATCACAATGTCACTTTGACAGAATGGCATATTAAAATTTGTTGATTTCACAAAGCAATCAACACCATGTGGTGTACATTTCATATCATATGGGCGAGAATTTATCATGATTACTATGATTACAGGAGCAATGGACCGAGAAGAATATGGAACGCATTCTCGTTCAATTCTAAACAAATCTTTCTTACGATGAGTTGAAGGGATCATTAAAAGCAGGTATCGTCGGGCAAAGTCGTTATATACTCTGGTCACGCCACTTGACCGACTCCAAATTGACCGATGACCAATAATATTGTCCATTCTGGGTGATGGTTAATGTTTTATTTGGACAATCTGGTATCCATCTCATCGTTGGGACTATTCAAGTCCACTTTTTGATGAACACATGTTGCAGTCTAAAGTCGAGCTGTTGGTTGATAAGGACTGTCGTGACATGGTGACCTTTGAACCTAGCCTGGGAACGTTGAGGGCTGAGAACAGATGCTTCCCGGGAAAAGACCACCTGCGGGCTTGGTGAGCAGATTGGACTGTTTCCTCAAGATATGATAATGAAGATGATGTAATGGTGATCTGGCAATGAATGATGAAGATGACAAAGATGATGATGAAGATGATGGTGATGATGATGATGATGAAGATGAAGATGAAGATGAAGATGAAGATGAAGATGAAGATGATGATGATGATGGTCTATCGTTGCCTATCCCATTCTGATAGATTGGATTATCTGAAATATTGCTGCAATGAAAAAGGGAAATAGAAAAAAACAATAATGGTTAATGCAATCATAGTCAATTATACATCAATTATTGACAACTGAATTGCAACACAACACAAATGTATCCCTTGATTAAGCATCATAACACTGCAGAGTTCTATCTTCTAAGATCCGAGGTAAGAGAAATGCAATCAGCTAAAAGATATTGCCTTTTGAGCATGTAGTTGAGTGACTTTGTATGATAGAAAACTTAGAATATATATGTTTATATATAATTAGAGTAATTACCTAATTTTCATTCGGTTTCTTTACATGTTTAGAGCTCTGCATTTACAACTACGTACAACTACGTTGCCCAATTGATCGTGAGCCCGGCAGCCACTGAGCAGCGCGAGATCAACGTTGCTCTATCCCTTATTGTTGAACGCCAAACAAGGTAGCAGCAACTCCCGTCTTTTCACGTCTTTTGGTATGACGCGGCTGGGGTTCGAACCCACGACCTCCCGGTTGTAAAGCGGACGCCCTTCTGACTGAGCCAACACACCGGTATGAAATGTAGCAATGTAACAGATCTTCTTTTGTTTCGTTTACAGCGGTTTTTCTGGACATTGCCATAGTAAACGCGTGATTTTAGCAGTGCAGCATGCTTTGTTCATGTACATTTGTTTAGGTTCTATTATAATGTAAAATTTAAGGAAATGTCATTGGAGCATTCAAAGAAATGTCACATAAATTTAGTCCAAATAAATTTGACCTCCACCTTTACAATGTGAAAGTTTCAGTCTAATACAGGTTACACCTATTGAGTTATTAATGTTCAAAAGTGGTCCTTTTTTTAATTTCTTTTACAAGTAAAAGAATTTGATTTTTTTCCCCAAAGCTCTTTTAGAGTTGTCTGGAGGGTAATTGCTCACAGTTCTGGCTATTTTGTTGTTGTGCTTCTCTTTTTCTGCATCTTACCTGATCCACAAACAACGAATATGAAGAGTCCAATTAACCACGGCCCAACAGGGTAGCCTTCCTCACTTGCTTTCTGCACATGAAATGGATCGAAAAACAGAAATATAGATTAATTAATAAAGATCGTTTCAACGGTTTAGTGACACAAAGACGTACATGTAACTCCATATTTTGCCAAAATGAGTATTTGATATCAAAATGTTCAAAAAAATGTGAGCTTTCCAGAAAACACAAAGACTCAACTCCACCCAAAACCCTATTGAAGTCAATGGCTAGTGAAGCATAGACTTAACTCCTTAAGGCCCTAGTGCTCAGTGACACATAAAACACTTTTTCTCAAAATGGCAAAATGGAGTTGCGTCTTTGTGTCACTGACCCTTCGATTTGATAGATTCACATGCAATCATCATTGACACTCAGAGTTTTCAGGATTTATTTTCAGGTCAATGGCATACTCCTGCATCACTCATTTCTATTACCTCAGATCCCAATAATAGCTGCAGTGCTTGTCTTTAAATATCTCTTCTTTTATAGTTGTATCATTTGCTAAAAGTATCCAAAACATAGGCCTACAGACTCAGGTTTTGGATAGGGGTAAACTGATATGAAAGTTAAAGCCAGGCTGCCATAGACCCGATCATACAAGTACTCGCTTGAACAGGTACAAGCTAGAGCTCGGAAGAACCAATCATTCAAGGCAGCATTATACAGCTGGATTAAGAACTGTCAAACATTGTAACTTTTTTCTTCCAAGAACTATATGTGATTGGTATTAGTTGCCCCTTTAAGATTCATACAAAAATTTCTCTGATAAGTTTTAAAGCTGCCCTTAGAAATCCCTAATAATTAATTCATCGTCTGCACCCCATGGGATTTAAGGTTCAGAAGATGAAGGTCATCTTGGACGACCTTGAACAGCTAGAGGCTGTACAATGGTAATTTCTTACAAAAGGCAATGGTATCTTCAAAATCGTTTTGAAGTATCAAACTTGAAGAATGGTTGGCTACAGCAGTACAAAAATTGATATCAAATCTTTATAGATTTTTTCAGATTACAAAATAAAAAAGGTCAAGATTTTCTGCATTAAACTACTGTTAAGTAGAAACATTTGCAGTACATTAATTTTCTTGGATTTCATGCTAAGATCGGCAAGCAAATTTTATGACTCCCGAAAAATATAAGAATGACTTATTTTATGCATGTTTTGAACGGATATTTTTAGGATAGTGTCACTCGTATGCACACTTGCTCTCTCTGTCAAAATCTACAGGATGAAAGACAATTTATTTTTTAGAAATGCAAGTTAGAAACTTAGAAGTTAGAACTGAGTCAGTGAGTGTTAGACTAAACCAAAATTTCTGCAACAAGTTTCTATTTCGGATTGTTGGTAATTGCCACTTTGGCTTTCTTCGAAATTGGAGTCGAGTGTGTCAGCGTAATGCACTTTTGCAACGGGCGTGCATCATTCTGTCACATGCCCTAGCGTCCACACTTACTTACTTTATGAAAATAACAATTAGGTCTAGTTACTTAGTTAGTAAGCCGTCTTAGGCCAAGGCGTCAAGATGTGTCAAGAGTTCGCCGACTTTGTTTAGTGGACTCTCTGCACACGGTCACACCCCCCCCCCCCCCCCCCCTCCCCTTCTTCTTTGTTGAATTCCTCCAATCTGGAGAACTTTTTATAGTCTACTAATAGTAATATTAATAGCTATTACGGAAAGTAAGTATCAAATTTCACATGAAAATTTCTGGTATTCAAGTAACAAGTGACTATGGTCCTTGGCTTGGCCCCGGCATTTTCATATACAAATGCCTTTGCAATGCACTGCACTGGCTGCGAATTTGTTGCATGCACAGCTGCAGTGTGGCTGTGGCACGAGTGACAATTATGACCAAAATTCCTCACACACACAAGCGACACGTCTACTCTTTTTTTCTTCATACTTACCAATGTTTTCGGGACATTCCCCCTCTTTTCAACATTCTTGCTTGCTTTGTCATTTTGCGTCCTCATTCTCTGTTTGCTAGGCATTTTGATAAATAATTTGGTTTCCTAAATATGACAGAAAATTATTAAAAGAGTGCAATATTGCGGATTCTCGATTCACCGTTTCAGCTTGTAAACGCTCAATCCCACGTCAGCGGCTGGAGTGATCGCATTTCCCTTTAAATTCAGAAAAATATTTAATATACTTTATCAAATAAATTTGTTGATTAATGTAATGTTTACTAAATAATTACTAAAGGTCAGATAATTTAATTTAAGGCTAGTAAATATGTTTTTTAGAAAGATATTATTTTATAACTTATGATGATCTGTACTCAGCACGACAGTATGCACTACTATTCGGCAACAGCTGAACCATGGCGCACACAAGTTTGAATCAGTATTTACAACAGGTGAGTGATTTGCCTGTTAATTTACAGATATAAACTCGTTTGCATGTAATGAGGAAAATTTCCGTAGATAATTATAACAGTATATATATTTTCATAAAATTTACTGCTTTTATTGTAATTAAAATGGTTAGTTTATACTATTCTCTACATTCCAAAGTGGTTGAATATTAATTTCAGCCCCATATAATGAAAATGGAGTTTGTTGCTGAAACGCTTCTGCAAAGTGCAAGAAAGAATAAGAAAGGAGGAAGGATGAGAAGCAGAATGAGAAAGGAGACGAAGAAGGAGGAAGAGAATGAGAACAGAAAGAAAGGAGAAAAATAGGAGAAGTAAACGAAAAGAAAAGGACATATTATTAGTATTATTAATAAAGGTAGGAGCGAACAAAGAAAAGAAGCGAGATGAGGAGGAGGAGGAAGAAGAAACAAATTAGAACAATAACAAGATCAGGAAAGAGAAGGTAAAGCTGAAAAGAAAAGAAAATTAATATGAGAAAGAGACATGATAACAAAAGAAGAATATATGTAAGCTTCATGAGTTAATGCAGAAAAATTTAAATGGAGAGCAAGTTTACCTGATGTCATCTGGTCATGATCGATGATGTAGAGAGTAAAATGAATAACACCAAGAAGATGAAGAAGTCAACAAGACGAAAAAGGAGATGAAAACTATGAAGTAGAAGAAGTATACAGAGGAAAAGAAGAGGGCGAAGGGGAAAAAAGAAAAGAAAAGAAAAAAAGAGGACCGATGACCAAAAGGAGAAGAATGAGAATTCAGCTATTTTCTTTTAATTAAAATTGTTAACTTATCAATATTAATGATGATTTATTAATTTAAATGATGAAGTGTGAATTAGGAGCAGCATTTTGTAAAATGTTGCTTTCCGTACACAACTTGTATGTGTACACTGAATGTAAACTTTCATGGGTAGCAATTTACTGAAAATTATTCTAAATGTTGCAATCTAACACTGACAGCTTGAATTCCACAATCACATTTCGTTTGTAGATATTTTGACAACGTGTTGAAAAATTGTCTCTCTTTTATCACAGGTTGAAAATGGGATCAGAAGAAGGGATGGCAGTCTTCTTGCAGTAAGTTTTAAATCTTCTTTCTCTTTCATGAGAGAGAGAGGATGGAGGTGACAGAGCAAGACAGTTAGATACAGGGAGAGGCATCAGAAAGATAAGAAAAGAAAGAAAATTAAAGAGAGAGAGAGAGAGGGGAGGGGGGGGGGTCATAGAAATGGAGGGGGAAAGAAGGGAGTGGGCTAAAGATGGAGGGAGTGAAAAGAGAAAATGAGGATATGAAATAGGAGGAGTGTTGTTTTTAAGTGAATTGTTATTATGAATTAAGCATGTGGATAGGAATAGATTATAATCAATTCAACCTAACTCCCCTGATTGAAAATCAAGTGATTTTACCTCAATGTATTCCTCCATTTCCTCTTCCTACCCCACCCCACCCTACAGGACCATCTGTCTTTCAAACATCCTCACATCGCCAATCCCAGACTGCATCTGGAGAGCCCAGAGGAGCAGTGTGAACAATGGTTTGAACCCCCCTACGATGAAATGGTAGCTGCCCATCTAAAGTAAGATTTAAAGTGCATACTTAAAATCCCAAACAATGCAATGATAAGATCTTTAATATCCTCATACCACTTGATTACAATGAATTAATAAGCTTTTCAGTTAAATTATGATAAATCATATAGTGGTCTGATAAATCTTGGATTTAGGTCATTGAAATCAATCGGTAAAGAATGATTCTACATCTAATGTTGTTAGTGGTAGACCTTTATTTTACTATTGATTATGGAATGTTTTGCCAGGGGATGAGGGGAATGACAATGTGCAAACATGGAATGTAGTACATTAATGCGCAACCCATGGATATTTTTCTTTTCTTTTCTTTTAATCAGTAACTTCTAGTTGAAAACCATGTTCTTTCTTGTTTGTTTGCTTTTAAGAAAGAGTACATGTAACATGACAGACTCACTATGTTACTTCTTTCAGCCAATCTAATGTTTAGATGGACTTGAGGCCATTGCCTATTCTTTGTTTTCTTTGTTTAATCCCCAGGTGCTGCTGGTGTGTGGCTAACAATGACTTCATTGAAGCATACTCGCTCCAAAAAGTGGTCGTTCAGTATCCTTTTTTTCATTTTCCCAGTTTACCTTGGTCTATACAAGTAAAAGCAAAATTGTATTGTGATGTACATGTTTTTGTAGTATTACTATTTCAACTTTTTGCAAGTGGTCAATCTTATTTGTATTCCAAGTGTGAATTAGCCTACTTTTATGCATGCATCCTATTCCTATGTCACATGATGCTGCATTGCTACCAACAAGACTACTAATAACAATATTCCGCTTTTGATATAGCGCTTAATACATCTACAATGTCTCTAAACGCTTTACAGATACTATTACCCCAGTCTATGGATTCAGTACTTGCCCGTACACATTGTGTGCACAATCTCCACTCCCTGGGAAGCATTCCAGCCAGGCGTTACCTGACGCTCAAAAACTGTTTGACCAACAAAGACTTCAAAGAGCATTTGCAACAATTCTACGTATACGAATCACTTTAATACTCCTACATATGTACGTGTATTTTCAGAGTCTTAATTCATTCTCAGAGCGTTGTTGTCAATATCTCTTATTTATATTTATTTTCACTTGTGTTATGTAATCATAAGATTTTTTTGTTGTCCAGGTGATTTGTTATGATGCCTTAACTTAGTTAAATATAGAGCATTCAACAAAGCTTTCCAGGGCCAAAAAGATGAAAACTGGTAAGTTTGTGTTCACTTCTTCATTACAACACTCCATTTTATTTGAATTATTACTCAAATGGCAGCTGTAATTTGTTTGGCCTAAAATATTGATATTAGATGATTATATTTAATAATTATTCAGAACTATTACCTTCAGGCAAACCAAACATAAAATGTGATTGTCTTTCAAATGTTAATGATAAAGCACTATATAAGAAATTAAAGGGGAAGTCCACCCTGAAATTAAGTTAGTTTTAATAGGAGTAGAAAAATGAGAGAAACAAGTCAGTGAAAGTTTGAGCAAATTCCGATTAAAAATAAGGAAGTTAGGATTTTTGAAGTTGTGATCAATCAAACACAAATTGGCAACTCTATGACGTATCATGCGAGCTCAACTTCCATTTGCTCAGTACTAAAAAAATCTAAAATTTTCATTTTCCCTCAAGAAAAATTTCAACCATACATGCACCCTAAATATAATAATTGCAAATATGTTTCTATACTCCCCCTGCAAGGAATAAATATATATTCCGTCATCAATAACGAAGAAAACATGATTTTATGGAATATTATGCACAAAGCAAATGAAGGAGAGCTCGTATAATAAGTCACAGAGTTGCCAATTTGTATTTGATTGATCACAACTTCAATAATTCATAACTTTCTTATTTTCATTCAGAATTTGCTCAAACTTTCACTCACCTGATTTTCTTATTATTCTGCCTCTATCGAAACAAACTTATTTTGGGGGTGGACTTTCCCTTTAAGAACCATTATTATTATTGTTTGTTTCTGTTGTTGTTATTATTATTATTGTTGTTGTTATTATAATTATTATTGTTGTTGTTGTTTTTATTATCATTCTTATTATTTTATTACTTATTATTATTATTTCATTTCATTTCGTTTATTTCCATTTCCAACAAAATAAATAAAGCACATGGGATTGCATTGTACATAGTAAAACAATGAAACTTAACAATATATTTGTAATTGGTCCACAGGTGTACAACAGGCATATAAAACAGGTTGGTCACGGAGGGGACTGCCGAAAAGCTGGGCTTGTAGATTGCAGCCCCCTATATATTATAGAAAGAAAGAATGGTCATGACAAAAATTGCTCTTTTAGCAGAAGTGTGCCTTTTTTAAATCTTCATAATACAGTAGTAGATTATTTTAGACTCATTTGAACTTAGGATGAACATTTAAAGTGTAAAGGCACAAAAGACGTATTTATTTTGTTTTCACCAACAACAAAAAAATTTCTCTCCTTTTTCTCTTTTCAGGGCTTTACCGGTTTTGTATGTTGTCATAGTAGACCTCAGATTATTTGCCAACAGTGTAAGTATACATTTGTGTTGTATTATATATTCATGGACCAACTGTGCTGTTTTCTTGGTTTTCTGATTCCTAATTACTAGGAGACTTTGCACTTATAATGCAATTATGCAGGGAGTGGATGCATAGGGGTTGAGTTATGGGTATCCATACCCCCCCCCCCCCTGCCACTCTAAGTTTGTTATGTGTAAGAGATTTTTTCATATGGAAACCTTTTTATGCTTGAATACCATTTTTTTTGGGGGGGGGGGGGAGGGGGTGCTCCTGCATAATTTTTGTTTTGGGGTGGGGGCCATGCATATTTTTTTTTTAAATTGTACCCCACTTTAACAAATCCTAGAGCCACCCTCGCTTTGCATAATGCAATGAAATCAATTTGCATGGTTGTTGTCAAGACAAAAGTGTAATGGCAATAGTACATGCGGTATCCAGGTGCCCAGAAATGTATGGGTATTGTTTATAGTGCAATCAACTGTAACACAGATGAATGATCCTATGTGAATTTAATAGGCCATGTAATCAAATTTAATCGAATCTTGCTAAGTGGTTCGTTACAAACTATTCATTCACCTGTTATGACTAATTGCATTTCAATAGTAAGTGTTGTTAGAGTTGTTAGGGAAAACAATAATATTTGTCCTACCTAGCAACAACTTTTCCATGTAATTCACATTCTGACCATTGAAATACGATTAATATCCTTAACAGGTGAATGAAATAATTTGTAACAAGGCTCTTTCAGTTATTTTTTTTTTGGGGGGGGGGAGGGGGGGGGGGGGGGAGGGGGATTCAATGATTACCAGCTGATAGAAAAAGATCATTTATATTAGTAGCCGAACAAATAAATTATGAGATGAAGTTTGCAATATCTGATTGCCAGTGTCATTCAGAGTCTAGCTTATAACTTTAGTTTCATCTTGTCCTGTAAAAAATTATAAATTGATTATTTATATGATAGATTATAGATTGAAGAGGGTTAGTAACAACTTTATTCAAATTTATTCAACTTTATTTAGCGCTTAGAGACTTCCGTGGTAAGCGTTTTATAAGCACCGTTTTTATTATTATTATTATCATTATTATTGTTATTATCATTATCATTATTATTATTATTATTATTATTATTATTATTATTATTGTTATTATTGATATCATTATTGTTATTCTTCTTCTTATTATTATTATTATTTATTACATGTATTATTGGTGTTGTTGTTGTCATTTTCATTTTCATTATCATTAATATTATTATTAAGAATATCAAGTAGATATTTGTTTGTTTATATAATATCTTAGAAACATCTATGGTTTAATCTATATTATGTTGAAATTGGGTTGTGGAAGAAAAGTTTTGGGTAACCTCCTGATTTCATTAGACTTTCAATTTAAGAAGAAAAGAAATGTTTAATTTGATATATATGTTAGGCTGAGACTCAGTTGATAAGAAAAGAAAAAGGAAATCCCAGTGAATTGTTAGAGATAGCACCTATTGTGAAGGAAAAGTATTGAATTGAATTGAATTTCTTTATTGTCATGCACAAAATAAAATGAAGGCATAAAAATCGTCTTACGGCTCACATTTGTATAAAATATAAATTTATAATTTTTTAGTAATTGGGAACCTCCTGATTTCATTAGACTTTTAATTTTAAAAATAAATAATAATGTTTGATTTGATATATTTTTTCAGGCTGAGACTCAGTTGATGAGGAAAGGAAAAGGAAAACCTGGTGAATTGTTAGAGAAAGCTGCTGATACTATGATGGCCTGCTTTAGAACATGTGCTGCTGATGGGTATGTAGATATATATGCTAATTTTGTGTGCTGGTTAATAATGATATATAATTCTTGTATATCGCATATCACATTATTATATAACATCTCTATACACTTTCCAAGGACTTTGGATATTATTACCTGGCTTTTACTCCGACAACCATGGCGCTCAGTGCATTCTAGGAGTAAATCCTACCAGATACTCACTCACTACACCTGGGTGGAGTGTGGCAAATGTAGAATAATGTCTTGCCAAAGGACATTATTGCTGCAGCAGGGATTTGAACCCCATACCTTGTGGTTCACAATTCAGAGATTTATCCACTAGTCCACAATATTAGGGGGAAATGTATGAAAAGTTTTTTGTATTAAAAAAAAGGGCTAGATAATATTGATATTCTGTAAGATTTCTAGCAGTATGGAGAATTCCTAAGCAAAAAATAAAACATGAATGAATGCCTTGATGGGCACTCCATTCTCCAAAGTACCAATACATATACATTATGTGTTGCCAATTTGAGTGATGAGAAGTGAATAAAAGAATAGATTTTATTATGATATAGAGAAAAATAAGGGAAAATGTTTTTACCTTGTGTGCCGCAAGTTTGACAAATAATAATTATAAATGAACTTTGTAGGCTGGACATATTTTTGTTTCATTACACTGGAAACTCATTATAACATGATGAACATGAGGACTATGAAAATTACCTTGTTATAACTGGTATCTTGTTTTATTTTGGCCCCGTTTCATGTAACTTGTTATCAATAAAAAAATGCTAAATTTCTGCGACAAATTTGCTCTCTGCCAATCAAATGCAATGATTTCAGCAGCTATTGTAACTTGTTATTACCCGGCCCCCCCACTCAGTGTTAAAAGACCCCCTATCTGAGTACTGAGACATTTCAGAACCCCCCTTTCGCGGGCTTTTCACAGGCTTTTCCTGCCTTGGAGACCCCCCTAAATCCGGAACACTGCTCAATGTACCCCCCTAAATCCGGAACACTGCTTAATGTACCCCCCTAAATCCGGAACACTGCTCAATGTACCCCCCTATCTCAGGACATGCAGACACCCCCCCCCCCCCCCCTCTCATCTCAGATAAGCTGTCATTACTGGTTGGCACTTCTTCAAGTGTTTCTTCTTGATCATTTTAAAGCACAATTTTTTATAAGGGCTTCAATATTACAAATACACCCCCTTTTTTTACATTTCTCGGGCCGGAGAGGCAAAATAGCTGGGTTTAGTCCAAACTTTTAGTAGAACAGGTGTTTTTTCTGGAGCAGAATTGCATTTTCCACCTGCGCCATAGGAGGGCTTGAAGTGAAATGATGAAATGATGAATTCATCATATGTGATTGCTTCTGCATCATAAGCAAAGAATGGAAAAGAAAGAGCAATAGAAGAAAAAAATTATCTTCAGATAAATATTGGCATGAGGATACTGGTTGAATGATGGACCAAATCAAACCTTCAAAAAGAGAGAGGGAAAGATTTATCTTAAAAAATAGGATCTCTCAGTAGCTTGATCTGATTTTATTGATTGAGTTAAGCCAAGGAAAAAAATAATTGGGTCACCGGAGTAGAAATCAACTCAAATTTATGGTGAGAAAGGTCAATTTTTTGTCCGGATTGTGGGATGAAGCCGTCATGTTAGTAATAAGATAGAGAACAAGGTGGGATCTATAGAGGATGAGGAGGGAGACAAGAGAGAGATAGAGAGGGAGAGAGAAAGAGAGAGGGAGGGAGTAGAGAGAAGAAGGGAGAGAGAGAGGGGAGAGAAAGAGTGAGGGAGAGAGAGAGATGTAGGGTTGATAGATTCTGATGTTTGCATTTTATGTACTTCACTTTAAAGTTCAGCTACAGTTATAGTGAAAAGTCAAGAGGACATTACTAAATATTCTGTGGTAGTTTTGGGGGGATAGATGAAGTTCAGCAACGGTTATCTTGAAAATTCAAATATGAATGAGCTTATAGTTGTATTGGTCAACTAATTAACTCTCCAAACCTTTTAGTTATATGGGTTAACTACTAATTAACTTTCCAAACCCATTCACACTTTCAAATGTGAATGAGCTCTTAGTATATGGGTCAACCAATTAAGTTTCTATACCCATTTACACTCTCACAAGGGTACCGGTATGAGATTTTAGTTGCATATGGGTCAACTGATTAATTTTCCAACCCCATTCACACTGTTCTTTTAATCTAGACGAGCATCACTGGACGATACCAAGCGATGGGGTATGCTGTATCTGGTCAACCAACTCTTCAAGGTCTACTTCAAGGTGAGTTTTTGTTTGTCTGTATGAATCCAGCAAACATGGCACCTACCCCTCAAAATGACAAAAGAGTGAATTTAGTACTCTATGATTTTTCTTGAAGTTATGTTGAATAGAATATGCATGAATATTGCTTCTATGCTAGGTGCCTTGTATCAGTTGTCTCTTCCAGACATTGGCAATGAAGGCTTTCCATCTGCTTCTTTCTTGTTTCTTTGTAATGTGACGTTAGTTCTGTTACCAGTCAGCCCAATGAACTTATCTATGTATTTGATGCGCAGTCTCCCTCTGCTTCTCTTTCCCTCATTTTTTCTGTCAGTATCCTGTTTTCTGTGCCTTCTCTTCTCATAATACGCCCAACAAACTGAAGTTGTCTCCTCCTTATGATGTTGAGGAGGAAGCATGAACGTAATAACAGTAATAATGGTGGCTTCTTGTATAGCTTTCATATTCATCACGCTGTGTCGCTTTTGGTGCTACAACAGTATCAATCGATCTTATTTACTGGGTGTAAGCCACAAATATCTTTAAACTATTGAAATTTCTCCCAGGAAGCATTACATTGATAAAAGTTATAACAGTATTACCTCGGTCATGGCATACCCATATACACCTGGGTGTAGAGAGGCAAACGTGGATTCAAGTCTTGCCAAAGGATATCAGTACTTGGCTGGGATTTGAACTTTGAACCCTTTGACTCAAAGTCCTGTGAATTAACCACCAGACCACAAAGTGTAGTGATGTAACCGATACTCCTCAAAAGATTTGAATACTCAGTTGCCCATTTTTGCCAGTTTGAAATTGAAATTTGCAACTTTGGGTATGAGGGCATTATCCAGTGCTGTTGATCATTGGTCAAGTAACTCAAGCACTGCGTGATTCATAATTCTCTATGGGACCAAGCTTGCTGAGTAAGAAATTGTGGAATTTCTTTGCCCTTGGAATAATTGAATTTATTGTGACTGATTGGTAATTCATTCATTCATTTTCTTAGAAAGCTCCCTAAAGCTGCCAATAACTCATTCTTTCTTTAAGTCATATTATTCACTCTATTTCCTGTCACTCCGTTTTGATAATCTCTGTAGTTTTTTGTGTTGGAACAAATGGGAAAGTTGTCTGTCATTACTGATTCAACCAATTTCAAGAGCCCATACCTATAGTGGTTGCAACTTTCAGAAGTTCATAACTCTCTCAATTTTTGTCCGACCTCATTAGAACTTTTACCAGTCTTCTCAATAGAGTAGTTTGCTATCAAGGTTAGATATCCCTTCAATTTTCAAAAAAAAATTGCCAGGTTACCTTGAATTCAGTTAATGAAGAGCAAGATGTAAACAATTTTAAGCAGCTCTTGAGAGTTTTCCTCCTCCTCATGGAATATTAAACAAAGAGAAGTATAACAAAAAAATAATTTACGTGCGTGACCTAGGCACTTACGTTATAAATTTCCTAGTGTGGTAGCTATATGTATTAAAAATGAATCATAGCTGAGGTATAAGAGGCAGGGCACTAAAATTCGAATTTCAAATGAAAGCTAGCGATTGTTGAAACCTCTTAGAAAGCTCCCTAAAGCTGCCAATAACTCATTCTTTCTTTAAGTCATATTATTCACTCTATTTCCTGTCACTCCGTTTTGATAATCTCTGTAATTTTGTGTGTTGGAACAAATGGGAAAGTTGTCTGTCATTACTGATTCAACCAATTTCAAGAGCCCATACCTATAGTGGTTGCAACTTTCAGAAGTTCATAACTCTCTCAATTTTTGTCCGACCTCATTAGAACTTTTACCAGTCTTCTCAATAGAGTACGGTAGTTTGCTATCAAGGTTAGATATCCCTTCAATTTTCAAAAAAAAAATTGCCAGGTTACCTTGAATTCAGTTAATGAAGAGCAAGATGTAAACAATTTTAAGCAGCTCTTGAGAGTTTTCCTCCTCCTCATGGAATATTAAACAACGAGAAGTATAACAAAAAAATAATTTACGTGCGTGACCTAGGCACTTACGTTATAAATTTCCTAGTGTGGTGGCTATATGTATTAAAAATGAATCATAGCTGAGGTATAAGAGGCATGGCACTAAAATTCGAATTTCAAATGAAAGCTAGCGATTGTTGAAACCTCTCTCTTTCTGTTGGTGTGGAGATCTCCATTTCAATCATTTTTGTAAACCCTCTGAGATCTTGTTTCTATTACTTCACATAAGCGTATAGTTTGCTGCACTTTTCAAATTCAATTTGAAGGGATTTCCCCTGGTGTATTTCAATGCTCTTGTACACGTCAATACATCTGTCTTTTGTTTGATTAAGGCCAGTACGCTTGCCAACTTTGAATGACCATTGAAATCAAATTCGTATCAATGTCCTTTATAGCCCATGTCACTGTGCTCAACATTCTCTGAAGTTCAACTCAACAGCAAGCAACTTGATTTGTGATGTGTTTATAGACAATACGAAACATATTGATTATCTGATATTGACAGTTTTAATAAATACTTGAAATGCAAAATATCTTTTTATGATGTACAAGATGTGCTCCCACATATCATTATCCATTATTGTACTACAATGTTTACAGACATGGAAAAATACAATACAATATTTATAGGACTGTTTTCTTCAATCTTAGTGCCTCTTTCTTCACTTACAATGCCAATTTGTTCTATGATAGCTACTGTTACATTCTAGAAATCGTTTTAAATTTTGTTTTATTTCAGAAGGCAAGCTGTTCAAAAAAATTATAAACTTGTTGTGAGGTAAACCACCTATGGCACTATAAGGGTCAGTAAAGTTTATTTGATAATGATAATATAATCATGTACAGTCAAAACTGCTTTAGTATAGAAAGACCACCTATCTACAAAGACCACATTTTTTGTTTCCATTGAAAACGGTTTCCCATTGAAACATGTACTAAAGGAACCTGTATAGAAAGACCACCTTTCTACAAAGACCACTTGTCTCGTCTCCCTTGGGTGGTCTTTATAGACAGGTTTTACTGTAATAACAAATAGGAAACTATCACTGATATTCTATTCTTTACATTGCTCCCTCTCTAGATCAACAAGCTTCCACTGTGCAAACCTCTCATCCGGGCCATAGAGGGCTCATCGCTCAAAGACCGTTTCAGTATCTCGCAGCTGGTCACCTACAAGTACTACGTCGGCAGGAAAGAAATGTTTGAGAGTGATTTCACCGCAGGTGAATATCACTTTTTGTGTACATGTATTAAAGCCCATCTGTACTAGTTTACAGGAGGGATTAGACCACCCTGCAAGGTCACTGGACAGGTGGTTATCTCATCAAATCAGCTCTCAATTAACACAAGAAAATGGGCATCATTGGGGACCAACAGGCACCGATTGGGGAAGTTTTCTATATAGAGGGAGCAAGTAGCTACAAGTAGGACAGTGGGGCTTTAAAACATGAATGAATTTTGCAAGTGGTTTTATAGATTTTCAAAAAAATTGCATGGTGGAAATTAATTGAATCATGATTGACACCCTGAACGTTTGAAATACATGTACTTAACAAAAGTGTGGGTTTTACTGTAACCAGGTTTAATTACACTATCAAATTTATGTAAATTGTTATCAGAATATTTATTCCAATCAACTCTACTAATCAGTTGAATCTCTTTAAGAAATAGCCCAAACACTTTTGATCAGAAAATTTTGAAAATTTTACATTTGGTGATTCCGAGATTAATTCCTTAAATTGCTTAAACGCTTTAAAGGTAGCTGTGCTAAAGCCGGGCTAATAATAAAAGAGCGCCAGGAGTGGTATTGTGCCAGACATGAGCGCTGAACAAGACTCCACTATTATTGTTGTCGTTGTTGTTATTATGATTGTGATTATCATCATCATAATTATCATCGCCATTGTCGTCGTCATCATCATCATCACCATCACCATCATCATCATCATCATTACTATTACTATTATTATTATTATTATTATCATCCTTTATCAATCCCCAGCTGAGGAGCACTTATCGTTTGCATTCCAGCGATGCCATCATTCCAGCCGGCAGAACAAACGTCTCATCCTCATCTACCTGCTACCTGTCAAGATGTTGCTGGTAAGAACGGTAGACGTATAAAGACCCTTGAAGTTCCCCAAGAGTTCGAAATATGATACCTGATTTTTCAAGATATTTAGCTTCTACACGGTTCCTTTAATATAATATGAAAGACTTTATGAAAGATAGTTACATTGTTGTACCTTTCTCAAGGGACCACCAAAGGGAAACAGGAAAAGTGGGCTCAGGGGGGTGTTTCACAAAGATCCTAAGTAGAACTTAACACTAAGTTGGACTTAAAAATTATGGACAGCCATTGGAGCCTTAAAATGAAATATATTCAAAAGCAGAAATTCAAGTATTTTAGACTTTTTATAAATTCCACAACAAGAACATAGAATCTCCCATGATAATAGAAAATATGAATGATTTGAATCAACATTTTATGTCTTTTAAAATAACTTTTACAAAATGTTTTCAAGGATGCTAATGGCTTTCCATAATTTTTAAGTCCAACTTAGAGATAAGTTCAACTTAGGATCTTTGTGAAACACCCCCCTGGAGACAGATGCCATTAACAGACTGGTTATCCAACACCTATTTTCTCTTCAATGAAGACAATAGAGATGACCACTATAGACAGTTGGTCTTTATAGAGAGGCGGTCACAATGATAGGTTTGATGTATAATTTATTGTCAAATAAAAGTTCCTTTGTTTCTCTCAATATCAGGGTCACATCTCTTCTGAAATAGGAAAGTATCTGATGCAGTTTGTTGATATCCAACGTACATCGTCCATACCTGCCAACCCTTACGAATAATCCAGAATATTCTGTTTTTGTGGATTTCTAGGACCTGAAAATCCAGAATATTCTGATTTTTCAATTTTTTATTTTTTTATTATTTTTTTTTAAACTAATGTTATTATTATTATTATTTTGTTTTTGTTTTTGGTGTGTGTGTGTGTGTGTGCGAAAGCCAAATAAAGCTTGTTTTATCATGTGCTGCGATTTGAGAGTACACGTATTGTGTGCGTTGATGGCTGCATGATTGAGCAGCGAATTTGTTTTCGTTTTTTGGTACAGATTTACCGCGTATTGCCAAATACACTGCCGCTACAAGTGCGATTTCTCATTTTCGAAGACATACAGTGCTAAAATTTCTTAATTCTTATTTTCAAATGTTGGCAGGTATGCATCGTCTCCTTGAGAGACGCACTAACAACAATCAATATAAACCAGTGGTCTTTATATGGAGGTGGCCACTCTGACAGGGTTGACATGCAAACTGTTCTCAAATAAAACTGCTTCTGTTTCTCTCGATATCAGGGTCACATGCCAAAGACGTCTCTTCTGGAGAAGTACGATCTGATGCAGTTTGCCGACATCGCCAAGGCAACAAAGACGGGTGACCTCCGACTCCTGACGAGCGCCATGAGCAAGAACGAGGCGTTCTTCATCAAGTGCGGTGTCTACCTCATCATCGAGAAACTACAGACTATCACGTATAGGAACCTCTTCAAAAAAGTGTAAGTTTGGTGTTAAAGGTATAGACCAGCTTTGGAAACGCCCCAATTTCAAAAAATGAAATTGAAGCTCTTATTACCAATCATGTGAAAGAATATGTTTTGACTAATACGTGATGATACGTTTTTGCTGGGAAACTGCCTATTAGTTGATATATTTTGTAAATTATTATATCTATTCGGACTGGATATATATGGACTGGATATATATCGCACAGTCCCATATAAATCTTTCTGTGTACAGTGCTTGTAACTTTACCAAGACTGGGAACAATTTCTTATCATTTTTATGTTTCCAGAACCTTGCAGTACACACCAATACTTATATGCTACATGATCAACCTTTTATGATTGATTCCACAACGTTTCTTTCACTATGCAATCGCATGACCAGAACTGGTCTAAACCTTTAACAGTACCTAGGGTGTTAGAAAGAAAATTATGTGTATTGTCTTCTATAATTTGTCTGTTGAGAGTCAGAAGGGTGTTACATCCTATACTTCACTCAGACTTAATGATCTTCTGGCTCTCTGCAGACAAAGTGTGAGTTTGGTGTTGATTTCTGTGTCATCATTAAGAAGCTACAGACTATTACATATAGGAACCTCTACAAAAAAAGTGTATGTTTGGTGTTAACAGTACTCAGGGTGTTAATGGAGAAAAGCATGTGTGTGGTCTCTATACACATGTCTGTTGAGCGCCAGAAGGGTGTTACATCCTATGCTTTAAACCGACTTAATGCCCTTCTGGCGCTTAGCAGACAGAAGTGCGATTTTGGTGTTGATGTCTGTGTCATCATTAAGAAGCTACAGACTATTACATATAGGAACCTCTTTAAAAAAAAGTGTAAGTTTGGTGTTAACAGTACCCAGGGTGTTAAGAAAGAAAAAGCATGTGTGTGGTCTCTATAATTTGTCTGTAGAGAGCCATAAGGGTGTCACATCCTACGCTTTACACCAACTCAATGCCCTTTTAACTCTCAGCAGACGGAAGTGTGAGTTTGGTGTTCATTTCTGTTTCATCATAGAGAAGCTACAGACTATCATATACAGTGCGTCCCAGAAAAAACGAAACCGTGAATTATCAATGTTTTACCATAACTTAATCACAATTATAATTAATAAATGACACATATTTGTAAAGCTTAGATCCTCCTCTTTCATTTCAGGCATCTCATATGATGCATATTTCATGCATGAGTGATTAAAAACAATTTGAAGAGCGGAAACCAAAAAGTCATTTGGCAGGCGGTATCTGAATTTCGAAGAAAAAAAAATTACATTTCTAAAAAGTTAATTTTCTGCCCTTTCATATGACACCTCAATCAGGAAAAATGTGCCAGGAATAACAAAGTTCTGTTAGTTTAAAGTAATGCTTGATTTCCATAATTCGATTAAACAAATTCGTTTTCACTGGCTGCCTGCCGTAGCAACAAACAGAGTTGACAAAAGACTTAACTCCGTTTTGCTGACGATCAGTCATGCATCAAGTCTAACATTTCTTTCTTTACGTACAGACAACTAATGCTGAACACGCATCAGGTTCCCATCGATGCCTTTGAAACAGCTCTAAAGTTTACAGGACTGGAAGACGTGGACAAAGAGGAGGTGGAATGCATCCTAGCAAACCTCATCTACAAGGTAAAGTAATTAATTCTGGAAGTGTCATGGTCTAGTGGATACGTCACCAGAGGGGTGTTTCACAAAGATTCTAAGACAAACTTAACTCTAAGTTGGACTTCATAATTATGGAGAGCCATTTGTAGCCTTAAAATAATATATATTCAAAAGCAAAAATTCAAGTATTTTAGACTTTTTATAAATTCCTCATCAACAACATGAAATCTCCCATGATAATAGAAAATATGAACGATTTGAATAAAAATGTTATGCCTTTTAAAATAACTTTTATGAAATATTTCAAAGATGCTAACGGCTTTCCGTAATTGTTAAGTCTATCTTAGAGATAATTTCAACTTAGGATCTTTGTGAAACACCCCCCAGACAGTGAATGAAGCACAAGGTACGTGGTCCAAATCCCTGCCATAGCACTGATGTTCTTTAGAAAGGCGTTAATCAATATCTTCCACTCTCCACCCAGGTGAAGTAAATGGGTACCTGGTAGGAAGAACATACTTTGCATGCTGGGAGCACCTTATCACATAGCTGCCAACCATTCCTATTTTGGGCCTTCAAGATATTGTTTTGAACCTTTGAGACCTCTCTTTCTCCTAAACATTTTGTGTGTAAAGTATACAAAATAGACCTTGAGAGATATCTAATTTTTGCTTTGAAAGGTTGACAGGTATGTAATATCGTGGTAACCTGGGTAAACCTGAGGTAATAATACAACTGTACCGATGAGGCTACACTGGAGATATTTGAATGTGCACTATTGGGCGCTACCCTGGCAGTGACTACACCACCGGGCGATTTCTGGTCCATGACTTGGACATATTCCCTTTGGGATTGCCCACCTTGATCAAGACTGATCTTTTTTCTTTTAAATTATTTTTGGCCTTTGTAATCTCTTGTTTACTCTAAAGATCTCAGAATATACCAGTTTACTAACATATTCAAATTTTACGGATGTTTTTTTTCCTGGGACCTATTGATGAGGTATTCCATTAACCTGTTATTAATGAATGAAATACAATATTGGAATCCAGTCTGCATACATTACTTGTTGTTATGTTGGGCAAGCCTCAGGCAAGCTTACAGTTTGTAAAGAACAACCTTCCTTTAAACAGTATGCATAACATTTGAATATGTTAGTAAACCTGTCTATAGTGTTGTGACATATACTTGCCTTATTAGAGTAATGCATTGTTACAGTAGTGCACAACTTTACCTATGTTCTTATGATAACGAGAGATAACCCTGATATCTTTATTGTTTCATGTTCTTGTTTCATTACAGAACTACATCAAAGGTTACCTTTCCCATCAACACCAGAAGCTTGTGGTCAGCAAACAGAAACCCTTCCCTCTACTCTCCTCGTTCCTCTCGTAGAACTTCTTTGTAGGTCTAGATGTGGGCCACATTGTTCCAAGACTCCATAGACTATCATGTATGAAAGCTAATCAGAGAGGCAAGAACTGCTTTGTTGGTTTAGGTCCTGTTCACTTTGATCCAGGACTTCCAACTCTTTTCATGTGTGAAAGATTGTCAGAAGTTTTCAGAACTGCTTATTAGTTCTAGGACTTGTTCACTTTGGTCCAGGACTTCTAACTAAGCATTTCATGTATGAAGGATAGTCAGAAGTTTTTGGAACTGCTAATTAGTTCTAGGACCTGGCTACCTTGTTCCAGAAATCAGAGAGGCAAGAACTGCTTTGTGGGTCTAGGTCCTGTTCATTTTGGTCCAGGACTTCAAACTAAGCTTTTCACGTATGGAAGATAGTCAGAACTTTTAGAATTGCTTATTAGTACTAGGACCTGGCCACCCTGTTCCAGGACTATTGAGACTCATGGATGAAAGAGAGTGTGCATAGAGATGCATGATTATGTACTAAATTGTAGGCCTAGGTCCTGATCAGATTGGTTAAAAGGACGGCTCAGGTTTTCAGGAATCAACCGTAGTCAAAGATGCTTCACTGAAACCTACTACAGTGAAACCTGTCTGTAAAGGCCACCCAAGGGAGACAAGAAAAGTGGTCTTTAAGTACAGGTTCCTTTGGTACATGTTTCAATGAGAATTTTTTTTCAAGGGAGACAACAAATTTGGTCTTTGTAGACAAGTGTTGTTTTGCCTGTACCTATATTTAGGTCTGGGCTAGATTGTTTTGAGACTCACTAAACATGTACCCATTAGAGATGCTGTACCGAGAACCGTTTAGTACATCTTTACCAGAAGTGGTTCCATTGCCAAAAATATTCAGCAAAGGAAGTCCATTAATCAGAAATATTTCTTCGCAAGAACCGCTTTGTATTTCTTGATCCTTGCCCAAAAAATATTTTTCCATGACCAATGAAACATAATATTTTACCTTCTTAAGAAATCCTGGAAGAAGTTTCAATTGTTGGAAAGAAATTTTTGTCTTGCACCCAGTAGATAATATGTCAGAATAAGTCAGGAGAGCTGAGGTATTTGTTTCCAGATCACTGTGACTGTGCCATGGACCAGTGATGGCCTGGTGGTAGAGTCGCTGCCCGGCAAGCAGTAGATGGCAGGTTCAAATCCCGCTGGTTCCAAGATTTTTTCTGACTTGTTTTCAATTACAAGATCAAGCATGGGATCTTTATCTACTAACTGGGTACAAGCCATAAATTTCTTTACAATAATGCATAGGAAATATCTAGAAGATCCAGCATTCTTAGATTGTGGAGGCACTGGGGGTTGGTATGAAACAGAGAGGTCACCACTGCTGCCCTTCTATCTTTTATCAATATTTTAAATCCGATAATGGGAAAGTTTTTCTGACTTTTAGAGACAGGGAAAAACAGTCAAAACATGTTCTTATCCAACCATTTAATGAAATGTAAATGTTTGTAATGAAGCAAATTAATAAAAAAGCGAAAAATTCATGATAGATGTTTGAATTTCAATTCTTTGTTTAATTGGTAAATCGACAAAGCTGTTTTTAAAGACCTATTGAGGTAACAGTTTTTGTTAATTATTAATTCCTAACCTAAAAATGGTAAATTGTACCATTTCATCTCGCCCAAACGGGTAGACATCCTATTAGATGTATTCAGTTGATTACGGCTATAGTTACACTAAGTTTAAGCTATTTCAGGACAGGATTTATTTTTAGGGCTAAATTGATCACCTAATGTCCTCTCAAATTAGCAACAATTATAGTTTTCATTGATTGATACATTGTTCTAATAAAATGTAATGTCTCTGAAAACTACATGGGCTGGGATGTTGTTGAAAAGCTAAAAATTGCAAATTTTGATTGAAAAATGCATTTTCTGGATATGCATATTTCTTTTGTCATAGAAATCCCCTGTGAAGAAAAATGTGTAATGAGTAATATATAGTATGAATGTGAAGTACGCTTTTACATGTGGTCTATGCTGTATATACTGTATTATTCACTGTTTGTACTGTTATTTTGTAAATAAAACCGATGTCAAACATCTGAATTCTTGTTCTTGTTTGAAGTCTTTTATTTTCTATGTTCATGGAAGTAACGTGTGTACATCTAATTGTCTATTGAGAGAAAGAAGGTTGTGTTAATTAATGTACTGAACCACAGAGCTTACACCCTTTTCTGAATTGTTTTTTTGCTTGAATGTTTTAATTGAAATGAAAAGAAATTATTAAAGCATTTGGAAATTTGATTTTTTTTTTTTTTTTTTTTTTTTTTTTTCACTGGTTAAAGTTTACAGATCAATTTACAACAAGAAATAATCATAATCATAGACAATTACAGTAATGGTAAAATGTAGTCGTAACAGCTTTAGTTGGGTAAGTTACATGAAATCAGTTTTGTACGATGAGGATGCTGACAGAGAGAGAGAGAGAGAAGAACCAAAGGATAGGCAGAGGAGCTGGGTAGAGCAGTGAAGAAAAGAAAGAGAGAGAGAGAGAGAGAGAGACAGTGAGAGACAGAGAGAGACATATAGACAGAAAGAGAGAGAGGGGGGGGGAGAGAGCCAAGAGTTACAATGAAGTATAAAATGTAGTTTAGCTGCATATACTGACATAATGAGGATAAAGTAATCTTTCAAGTTCAATTAATGGTATGAAATTTCCAGATCACCTAGATATGGGTTATTTATAAACAGTGATGCCCCCTCACATGCTTTTTGGCAGGAGTTGGTTAAAAAGATGTGTATCAAAGTTGTATCTTGAATGATGCTTATTTGGGCAAATATTTAGAATATTTACTAAAATGGCAACTGTAGGCCTATGAATTTTTTTTAATTTTCCAGTAGCATCGTACCTTTTCTGGCCATTAGGATATGGTTAAATATTCAGGTAGGCCAATACGAGCTCCTCTTTTCCATGAAACATACAGTGAAATTTTTTGATAAAAATTTGTGGAGTCAACATAATAAAACTATGAGCTTGGTACCAAGATAATCTTTATACATAAAACATAATTTTCCCTTTACCAAAATGCGTTCTTGCATATAGAAGAAAGAAAAAGTTGAATAAAAAACTGCGATATGACTGGGGTCTTTAGTAACTATTCACATTTATAAAGGCCATGGCAGATTTGTTTTTGATAAAATACTTTCACTGATTCCACTGATTCCTTCCACATCAAATTGGACAACATGACACCTCTTTATTAAGTTACTATACTAGTCCAGAATCAGAATCTTTAACCGCGCGCGCCGATCTCCCACTACAAATTCCTACGCCCGGTGAAGAAAACATCTTATGCTGGGTGTACAAGTTGGCTGATAACGCCATCTTTGGTGGCCTGAGAGCAAGCGAAGGGATATAAGAATCGGCCAGATTCTGGACTAGAGCAGGCCGTACTTATAGATTTGTTTGTCCCCTGTCTACTTTTCTAATCTCAATCCAATTCCCCTCCCTTTTGAGCTCAGCTATATAGGGGCAAAATGTTGAACACAAAAGCAGAATAAGTATAGCCCCGTCGGCTAGCTTTCAGATTCTTTGTCTTTTCACTTCCTGTGCTTGTAAAAGACTTATTTTCCTCACTTTCTATTATATATCCCTCACTTTTTTTAAAATGTGCTCCTCCCTGATAAAATCCACTTTGATTGGTAATGCATATGGCTCCGTTTAGTCTCATTTCTCAACGCCCCCTATCGTCAGAGCATGGTCAGATTCAGCAGCCTAACATGTTAGCCTATGGACGTTTTTTAAAAAATCGTTAAAAATTCATTTTTTGTTTAGACGAAAAGCACATCCACCCCGACGTACGTTATCACTAGCTCTTTCATTGGAGCCCTCATGTCTCATTGACTTTTGAAAGTTCACCCACCGTAATTTTTTTAAATAGGTTGCAAGCTCGTCATTGCCTATAATACACATGTGAAACAAGCCTAACTTTGGACTCAGTTTACCAAGCGATTTGAAGATTATAGGTCGAGCACACGAAACATAAAAAGCATGAATTATCATAGATCACTTCTGCCTATTTCGTTTTGTCCATTTCATCCAACCCCCCACCGTAATTTTTCCATTTAGTAAAAGCAAACATTTTGCCGAGTTTAGCAAAAACATGAATATTCATGAACGGTCAGACAATACAACCTTTTAGTACGTAACGTATAGTGAAAGGGAATGTGCGATGATCCGTGTAGGAGGTAGAGGTCAGTGGTTTGTGCTGGCAATGTTCACGCGAGCGAAAATGAGACAATCGGAGCAATATGATTGGATAGCGTGCTTCTTTAGGACATGAACGGGAGAGACAGGTGGATCATAAGTTCTATCGTTCTCGTTACGGAAAGACCAAAAACTTGACGGAAAGAACAAAAATCGAGTACATAGTGTATTTTTGTTTTGTTAAAGGTAAAGACCAGTATTGGAAACGCCCCAATTTCAAAAAAATAAATTGGAAGCTCTTATTACCAATTATGTGAAAGAATATGTTTTGAATATTACATGACGATAAAAATTTTGACGGGAAACCGCCTATACTAATTGATATATTTGGTAAATTAGTATATCTATATACTGTTGAGAGATACAAATACACGTGTCGCACACGTGTGTGTAGTCCCATATACATCTTTCCGTGTACAGTGCTTCTAACTTTATGAAGACTTGGCCAAATTTTGATGATTCCAGAACTTGCAGTACATCTATATGCTAGATGATCAACCTTTTCTGATCGATTTCACAACGTTTCTTTCACAATGCAATTGCATGACCATAACTGGTCTTTATAGCTTACACCTGTTAGGAATATACCATAGTGCCTGCAAACAACGATCTCCAAGTAAACTTTGTTTAATGGGCTCTTCCTTGATACACTCAGTGGCGGATCCAGGGGGGGGGGGCCCGGGGGGCCCGGGCCCCCCCCCCCCTTGAGAAAAAAATCATGTAAAATCACGTGATTTTTACCTTTTTTGGGGTTGGGCCCCCCCCCCCTGGCGCTCAAGGGGGGGTGCAAATTGAAATTTTTTTGAGGCTCAAAAAAAAAAAAATGTGCCCTCTACCCCCCCCCCCCCCCCCCCCCCCCCCCCCCCCCCCCCCCCCCCCACTGAGCGAATTTTTGGCCGGCGCGTTTTTCAAATTTTCGGGAGCAAAAAAAAAAAAAAAAAAAAAAAAAAAAAAAATTGTGCTCTGTACCCCCCCCTGACCTCCCCCCCCCCCCCCCCCACTGAGCGACTTTTCGGCCGGCGCGATTTTCAAATTTTCGGGAGCAAAAAAAAAAAAAAGTTGGGCCCCCTCCCCTAAGAAATCCTGGATCCGCGCCTGGATACACTCCACTTTTATTGGAAATACTCTTCCTTGCCCTCGGGACGTCAAAAAGCAAGAGAGAATAGTTTATAAGTTCCCTCAATATCCTTACCGCCCTTGACAATAAAAACAAAATTGAGTACGTTAATTGTGTATTTTTGTTTTGATTTGTTGTTTTTTCTGAACTTTTTTGTTTAGGTGACAGGAATATATCATATGGTGTCTCCAAATAATCATCTCCACGTAAACTCTCCAACTTATATTCTTTGATACTTGTAACATTGTTGCCGAAGAGGACAGCTAGCTCACTCATATCGAAAAAGAGGTCAAAAGAAACTGTACCAAGTCAAATCAAACGATTTATTTATTAAAATAGAATCCACGGTTTGAGATTGCCATCAAAATTCAAGTAATTCAAATGAAGAATCGAAACAGGTGAACCTACAAATTAACAAATAATAGAGCATAATTATGTTATCAATATCCAGCTACAAAATTAGAATTATGATCAGCAGCTTTGGGATTATAAGTTGAAGATTATTTACAATAATTATATGATTTGGATGTAACTTTGCATAATAAAGTGGCGTAGCTATGGGGTAGGGGCATGTTCGTCCGCGCCATATATGAATCATCAACTGGCAGAAAATAAGAGAGAGGGTGGGAGGAAGGAGGAGAGAGAGAGAGAGAGAGAGAGAGAAAGAGAGAGGGAGGGTTGAAGAGAAAGGGAGGGGTGGTGGGAGGGAGGAAGAGAGAGAGAGAGAGAGAGAGAGAGGGGGAGGGAGGTAGAGAGAAAGAAATATTATATATATTTTTTTCTTTTCTTGGGGGGGGGGGGATAAAATTCAATGAAAAGATGATACGACACATCACACTACCCTTCCACCATACTTAAAATTTATTTCACTGATCCCGGCCGTCATGCAATACCAGTGACCCCCCCCCCCCCCGCTTGATCCATGGCTAGACCCACAGTTTGTCAATGAATTCATTCAAGTTTAGTTCAAATAAAACATTTAAAACAATTCTTCTTTTAAAACGGTACACTCTTACGACTTGCGCAACATAATTAATGTACTTGTTTTATATTTATTATCCCATGATTCGTCTTTTGCCTCCGATCTTCTTTTATGTACTTCTTATGTAGTATACCATCAGATAATGAGGAGAGCCATGCATATACAGAAACTTGATTTATTTTGGTAATCCACAGGCATTAGTCGATTGTTTCGTTATATTCCCGGTTGTAATTGTTATTCTCGTGGAAATTAAATAAAACTATAAAACAAATAAAAAAACAAATAAAATAAACGTTTGTGAAATTTCAGAAGTGAAATATTTGTAATCATGGCGGTAATGTACTCTTTTTGTTTCCTCATACACATTAATAACAAAACATTGTCTCATTTACTGATATCTTAATTATTCTTCAGACAATCTTGATTTTTTTTCCTTTTCATTATATATTCTGTGATATGTACTCCAAACAACCGGAGACCAAGTTGTGAAATACTTTCTTTTATACAACACCTACGTGGATCCTTGTCATTTGATTGGACGATTGTTGGTCACATGATATTCAATAGATGGTATATTGCACGGTCGTGCATTTTTGGTTATATGCGCCGTGCATTTTTGGTTATATGCAGACTGCGTATCTCTCTGCTGCATGTGCGCGCGCGTATCCCTGCGTGTATCTGACGCGAAGGCAATCTGCATGTAATTGAGAAGGCTTGACTCGAACTGTAATTTATCTTTATAAGGAGTAAAGCATAATTTGTTGATTAACGTTCTATTAGGTCTTCTGCGATGTTGTATAAAACAAATAATGAATGTTTTTCATTCGTTTAATAGTGCAAATATTTTCATTCGTTGAAAGATTAACGTTAATTCTATTCAACTCGGCTGACGCCTCGTTGAATAGAATGTTAATCTTTCAACTCATGAACATATTCGCACTATTGAACTCATAACCATTCATTATTTGTATATTATTTTATTATCAGAATCCGCCCACACCGGCATGCTTTCATAACTGTCTTTCTAGTCGGAGAGTCTTCTGTAGGCTTATTTCGGACCATAATTATAAGTAGGCAATGGTTTAAAGGGGGAGTCCAACCTGATATTCAGTTAACTTATAAAAGAAGCAGAAAATGAGAGGAACAGGTCAGTGAAAGTTTGCCAAATTCCGATTAAAAATAAGAAAGTTATGAATTTTTGAAAGTTTGCAATCAATCAAATACAAATTGGCAATCATACTCTGACGTAGTGAGATAATCGGAATTTGCTCAAATCTACTGACCGTGTTCCTTTCAGTTTTCTGCTTCTATTAAATCCAACTTAATCAGAGTGGTAACTATAAGTTAGAACTTCATGGTTTTTGCAAAGAGATTCGATCACATTTTTATAGTGAGCCCTCTCGTTCAGAAAGCGGCGACTTCTTGGAATTTTGACCTCAAACGGTGACCCTCATTTGCATATGTATACAACATCAATACGTAAATTTGTGTAGAAGGCCTTTATGTCAGTCAGGAAGCGCAGTTATTCATAACGAGTAATGAGTCACTATTAGTTTTTGTCTAATCTCCCACTGAAAACACCCGCCAGTATAGAAATGACTGTCTCCAACGCATTTCTGTGAATATGTGGAAGGCATCCGTGCCGGCGAACTTGTGAAATTATCTTGGATTTTACTACAGGAAGTAACGAAAGTTTAGTGATTAAACGGAAGATCGTGCCGAACCCGCGACCCAGACACTCACCGACCCCAATTCAGAGGCACACGTACACTAGTCTATCGGCAGAGCTTCTGGCCGCATTGCTGTGCAGGGCGGCGGTGAACAAAAAATGGCATCAATGCGAAGTTTAGACGATATTGATCTCTCAAGTTTGAGGGTAAGGAGATTAAAATTAATTTCTAACCACAGATCGTACCTCGGTTTGGATGTCAAATTATCGTTTATAATAATACAATGAAAATGTTGTCCAGAAAATGAGAGAAATAAGAGTAAACGTCGGCTCTAAAAATAATGACCGATTTATTATGCATGGCATGTCTCTCTGTGTTTAACATGATGAATCAGTGTGGGTGTGTGTTGTGTGCATTCTTTCGTCCACATTGTCTCCGCTGTCTTCCATCAAAACAAAGACTGAATTGAAAGAGTGCTTACTACTGGGTATTCAATGAAATCATAAATATTAGAATTGAGGGTATATTATTACAATTTTCTTATTATTTACCATTTTTACTGGGGCCGTTTCTCGATACTGTCATAGATCTAACTACAAGATCAACGACATCTCGCCACTGTTACGCAACTTGTCAGCTAAGTGTTTCACAAAGCCGTCTTTGCCAAGATGAGTGACAACTTCCGCGACAGTGAGTTGTCACTGCTCCGAACCCGTCATATCTTTTTAATTGCTGTAAAGCGCCATCACAAGTCAGTTTGTTGCTATTCCATGGGCTGCGAAATATACGATTAGTTTCACTATCATTTTGAGAAAAATGTAGACGAGTTTGGTACGTAATTCTCTGGGATGCGAAATGCAAATGTAAAGAAGTGATAATAGAAATTATACAGAAATTTTAAAAAGCTGAATATAAACATTAAATCACAAATCATTAAACTATAACAACTCTGTTGAGGAAGAAATTGCAAAACATGTAAAATGATTTTCACATTTCTCAAATTTGATCTATAAAAGCATAACAAAAGTCAATGATAAAAGTTTGGCTGGCTGTACATGTCAATGATGTCACACATGCAGAACCTACATGTACAGTACATGTACATGTACAATGGCTTATGGCATGCGCTGTAAAGTTTTATAAAATCTCAGGAAGCTTTTAATACCGGTCAGAAACATGTGATCTTCTGTTACAAAATTACAGAGTGGTGAAACAACTCAAGGCTTACATGTAACTATTCCTAAGTTGAGCTTTTTAATCAATCCTTTTATTCTTCAAATAAATACTCTACAATGTACATGACACATGTACACTGTACATGTACAGGTGTACATGGGCAAACTAAATCCCTCATACCGTCGCTGTTTTCACGAAGTGACGGTAGTGAAAAAATAATTGCATTCACTTTGCGTGACGATTTTCCTCACTACCGTCACGATTTTCCTCACTACCGTCACTTCGTGAAAACAAGGACGATACATGCATGGTACATGAACATTGTGCACCTGTTATTTGATTATTTTTGGCGCATATACATGTATGTAGGCCATCAACTTGATTGCCACAAGGCCTGTTAATTAATGTAGGTTACATAACATCCTTAATTAGATGTAGACTATTTATTGAATGTGACGTTTTTCTCTGCAAAGGCCAAGGGGGATTTCGTATTATGTAATTAGACAATTCAGTCTTCATAAATTAATGATTGATAGAAGTTTTCCGTCCATGTTTATATATTTTATACTTGTACATGTACATGTACATACAGTACTGTCTACATGTAAGTATTTTTGTGAAGCAATGAAAATAAACTCTTTTGTATTTTGTTTTATAAAGTTTTCCAACAAACACTGAATTGCAAATTAGCTAGAGCTGGTTGTTTTCATTTCATGATGACTTACACATGTACGCCCTTTATTATAGCAGGACATTTTGTTTATTGAAATGATTGAAATGGCAATTAATCATGCAACTTTCATTGAAATATTTCAGGGAATATTGTGTTCGTACTTGAGAAAGTTGTGGGAGAGACTTTAGGTCTGCTTGTACTGTACATGTTTTCTTTAGCTTTGTACAGTCTCAGATATGATGCGGCAAAACCACGCAGTTAAAAAAAAAAATTATGGTGACGTAAAGTTTAATATGCTTCGCAACTGTACAGTGTATATAACACAGCGCTTTAATGTGAATTCGTTCAGGACCTTTGTTGTGGGCAGGTGCCATTAATTTACATGTTAAAAAACTGAGGCAGATTTTTTTGTTAGGGGTTTACTGCATCATTGTATCTGAAAGAGCTTTTGTACATAAACTAGTACATGCCTAGCAGGTGTACAGTACATTATTACAACAAATGTACATCTACATGTAAACGTAGGCTAAAGTACGAAGTTATAGTGTACACATGTACATGTAAATTTACAGTTGTATGTAGCTGATGTACATGTACATCTACATGTAGGTCTCAATACGATATACAGCAAGCTCAAGCTTAGCACAAGGTGCATGTGTTAACTTTAATACATGTGTGAGGTTCAGATAGAGTTTTACAGCAGATATAATATGGTAAAGTGATTTCATGGTTCCCATAGGAGTCTGTTGAATGAGAGGCCATGACCCCAAGAGGTCACGACCTGGAAGTGTGCTAAACTTCATTTCCTGTGAGAGTAGATTGATAAGGACAAGGATGTGCAAGTACATTATACATGTATGTTTGTTCTGATATCAATTTTTGTTATATTTGGTGTTTTTTCTTGATAATAATGATCAATCATTATAAATAATGATAACATACTAATAACAAAAGAGGATCCTTTAGATGAGGGGGGGGGGGGGGGGGCATAGCAGATTGTCTGATGTCTATCACCATACATTTTTTTTTAATTTAGAGGAAATATGTGTCTTCTTTTTCTTTTCTTTTTTTTTGTTGTTGTTGGAAGTTATGACCAGCAGACTAGGGACATGTCACATGTTCCTGTTATGACCAAGATTGTGCCTGTTTGTTCATGTTTTGTTGTTGGAGGGGGAGGAGCTCTTAAACAAAATTGTTATCATTAAAAGAGACTCAAAGTGTTAATTGACAGCAAGAAAGCCGGGTAGCACCTTTTAAGATTAGAATAAAAGAGGAAAATTATTGTTATCAATGTTTGTTAGGCAGCACATGTCTCAGGGAGGGGAATAATACATGTAATCTACAGGAACTCACAGATCTGAGAATAAGTTTATTGACTTAAAACACAGGTTTCTCGTCATGAAATGTATTATTGGGGAATATTAAAATGAAAGGCAGAGTCACTTTATTTTACATGTACCAGTTCTTGTGTACATGTAGCTCGAAATTCTTCAAACCTCGATAAATAATATTTGTAAACCTTTGTTGTCTTTATTTTTTTCTTCCGATTTTAGGATCCAGCTGGTATCTTTGACTTGATGGAAGTTGTGGGAAATGGAACATATGGACAAGTTTACAAGGTTTGTACCGTAACATGTACTGCAATCACTATGCTTTTCTTATAACGATATTGAAAATAAAATGATGCCCTGCATATACATCTCAGCACAACAGTTCTGTAAATTTGGTAATATATTATAAGAATGAGGAAAAAATAGTGTGTTTACAACATACTGTACATGTATTATATGTTTAACTTGATCGTGAAGGAAACTTGTCATATTCTTTTCTATCTTTCTTCTACAACATACATTGCAGTTGTGTGTGTTGTTTGTTTGTTTTTGTTTTTGTTTAAAATTATATTTGTTGTTGTATTATGCAGTTGCGAGGAATAGACTCTTCAAGTATCGTCAGATAACTGTAATTGACACCTGGTCTCACCAGCAGTTTCTGCATGGCGAGTCAGAAATAGGCCAATCGAATCGGTTCACTGCAGCTCAGATGATGTCAGATATCTCTATAAATACTGAACAGTATTGAATAACAAAAGTAACAAAGTATTTCTATCAATTTCTATGATGCAAGCGGATGAAACAAAGGAAATCTGTGTGTGGCGGCGTATCGATGTACTTCAGGAATGTTTTACTTGTAAATGTGCTGTTTAATTGAGAGTGTACATGAGGATGCCTGAGAAGGAAGATAACATGATATACATGTACTGTACAGTACATGTAGTCCTAATTTAGCATGTCCTCGGAAACATTATGCACTCTGCATGCGGAAGGATTTCTCAGCGATACCCCAGCTGTGATATAACCAAGTTGTATTGAAATGTTTTTCATGCAAGCTTGAAGCATCACATGAAGCAATGCTATAGAATGCCATACGGGATCGAAGATTACAACATATATTCAACATTTTAACAATTTACATTACCGATACTGCAAAACAAAGGCTTATTTCTGCAACTTTTTCACTAGTCCTGGAAGCAAGAAAAATGAAAATAGATATTACTTTCCTTTTTAATTTCTTGTCTTTAAATTACAGTATAAGTACCGGTATGATTATGAAGGTGCATTTTATCTTAGACCATGCAAACTTCAATTCAAGGTACATGTATACATACATGTAGAAGGATAGGACTTGGATTGGGATTGAAATTTACATTAGGTCAGGTTTAGGGCTGGGTTTATGAAATTTTCAAATTTGTTTTTGAAACTACACACACAATATGTTATTGTAGCAAGTTATAATAATTTTATACACTGCAGAAAATACAACAATGCAAATCAGCGAACTAGAACTCTCGCTTTGTCAAGTCAAAATATTCATTAGCCCATAGATCGCTTAGGTTAATTGACTAGAGAAAAATGGATGGAGAAATTCATCAAAACCAGACAAATGGGTAGTCAGTATAGACGACAACAAACCAGCGTCGTCATAAATTTTCGGTGTAATTTTTCAACAATTTGGACTTGATTGCATGGCCAAATCACAAGGCATAAAATTGATGAGAACAGCTGATGTTTTGTGATAGGTCTAGTTTCTCTGCGCCACGGTAATGACTTCTCGTTAGTCTCTCTAGTGGCTGTCCAGGGCACCACTGGACCGGCCATTACGCCATAAACTTGATGTTTATAACCTGTAGACAATGGACATTTATACATGTATGTAATGTACATGCACATTACAGTGTACAGATGCACATGCATGTACTGTAGGTGTACATGTACATGTAGATTCAAAATGTATTACACTGTATGTACATGATGTACTGTACATGTATATTACACTGTTTGTCTGTCTTGGAGGTAGATTGCAACAAACATAATTCCACATATTTTTGTTCTCTGCCATTCTACTACACTAACTGTTGCAGCGTACTAATGTACATACATGTACATATGTGGGATGTATTTTCAGAGATTTTCTCTCAGGCGTCCATTATGTGCATACGGTACAGTACAGTACATGTAGAATGGTAAATAAACGTATACAGTGTAAATTTTACATGTATATGAACTATTTGGTGACTGTAGAAACCTGCTACATATACACTATATACATGACATGTACATGTATGTGACTTGTGTTTGTCATTTCAATTACTGTACGTCTTCACATTTGTCCCCTCACAATGCAATAGCTGATTGATCATTGCCTTGCAAATGGCAATACAATGGCCATGCAATGTATGATTAGACCCACTCTGCAGTGACATTAAGGACATGCACATATTGTTTGCTTGTCTATTTTATTTTTTAACAAAGAACTTCTTTTACCAGTAGTTCACGGCACTCCACTCGTGAATAAACTTGTGTGATGAGTCAGTACAGTACAATGGACATGCAGCCATCGAGTACCAGTAGTATAGAATTGAGTATTTGAACCTTTGAAGGTTTATTGCTGTTTGGTCCACAACCATTTCATCTACTAGTACCCGATTGGTCTATTCCTGTATGGCTATACCCAGCCCGTCTAATATCCACATGGTCTAATGACTATCTTGTCTACTTATCAATTGGTCTAATAACCATTTAGGCTAATGGTCATTTGGTCTAATCTCCAATAAGTCTAGTACCCATTTGGTCATTTAATCCATTTTCCAGTTGGTCTAATTCCCAGTTTGCCTAATGCCTATTTTGACGCAATGGTTGGGTCACCAAGCAATTTCTCATGAAAAGATTTGCTCTTTAAAAGTTCATGTTAACGTATCGTGAAGCATTACAGTGCAGGTAAGCACTAGGTTAGTAAGCACACATCCGTACTACACTGCATGCTCATGTACCTGTACATGAAGAAATTAAATCAGAATAGTTGCCAAGTTACCTTCTGCTGCGGATTAAGCCATAATGAGATGCTTAGAATCAAAGGACGAATCGAGAGAAGAACTGGCAGAATGCCCGTATCTAGGGCCCAATGTAGAAGGCTTGGATATTTACTAAACAGGGAACTCCCTGTCACGATGATGTCTCTATCAGTAACATGATCATTATTGCCAAACTTTATAATTACCGGTAGAGCACGATTCCTCTCCAAAGTTTAGCTACACCTGTACATGTAGCATGGATACATGCACACATACATGTACATGTACATGTAGGCCTATTAAAGTACATAATCTGTACATGATGTAGGCAATGACACATACAAAAAAGACATGTACTGTACATGTAAATGTAGCAGGGCTTCACTATTAACTTTTTTGGAAGTTGGTCCTGGGTCCTGTTTTATAAAACTTGTCATCAATAACAAGTTTGGCATTTAATTGGCTGTGAGCAAATTTGTCAAATAAATTTAACATTAATGTTAATGATAACAAGTTTTCCCTTGGGTTGCATTAACATTGGAAGGTATGGTGGTACATGTACATGTACATGTATATGTTCATTGTAGGCCTATACATGTACAATACAAACATATGCTCAAGTAGTCACATTTGGTATTTGATACGAGACTGAAAAGATTGGCATTTCAGCGACCGACAATGTTTTCTAGGTTCTTAGCCCGAGAAGTGACCTTTTCAACATTCATCTCTTCACAATCCTTGTAACTCATTGATTTAAAGGAGAAATTCACCCTGCATGAATGGATGCCAAAATGTACATTTCTACAACTTTGTCTAGGGTGTACATTTCAGCAACCATATTCACCTGTTAGTGTTTAGCCCCTGCTCCTCTGTAGGCCTGTCATCATCAGCTTGAGTTTGCCAAATAACCTGCTAATTTCAGACTTGGGATATTATCCTCGAGCTCGACCGATACGCTCATCACAAATTAGCTCGTATGGGTGCAAATCAGCCTGCTATTTCCCAAATAGCATGATATTTCGGAATCGCAACTGCGGGCTAATGAGGGCGCATATTAACTGGTTAATTTGCGATTGGGGTATTTAAATAGCGTTATATTTGGCAAACTCGAGCTGATGAAGACGGGCCTTTGTGTGATAACATTGACCTTTGTGGGATGAGGAAGGGTGCTTTTCCTCGATTCTGGTTCTTCCATGCCATGTTTTTCCTCCTGTCATTCCAGATTGTTTTGGAATCAGGTGATGTGCGGGCCGCAAGAACCAAATGAGTGTTCAGAGTCCCTTATGCCCTTTAAAATTCATAGCATGTCGTCAATATTTTATACTTGTGCAGATGATACCTCAATTGAGGTCTCCTACATGTAGTTCACCTTTGCACTCAATACTTTAGGCTACCTACCTGGGAGAAATGAAGCAAAATATATTATAGAAAAAATATCTTCACAATCCACTTTGTGTCAACCTCAAATTTGGAATCCAGAACTGAAATCATCTTCATCCAAATGTAAAATATATACTGTACATAACTTAGGAAAGGTACATGTAGATTCTCTTGACATAAAAAAATGTACAAGTACATTGTACGAATGGGAGGGCTATGCAGGATTATTATTCCCAATGAATACCTAGTTCATAGCATTTATAATGAAATTTAAAAAGACCAATTAGAAAGCCAATATTTCAGGATGTGGTCATAATTTGTTAAAAGGAAGTCCAGGTGTATGAAACAGAAAGTGAGAACATGGTGATTTAATTGGAGGAAAGATACTGCCTGGATGATGATAAATCAGGCATGAACATTTTTAGGTTTATCAAGTTATAGTTTCTAAAGTTATTGATGAGTTAAGTGCGGGAGAGAGACAAGACTCATGAAAGATTTTGGGTTCGCCGAGTGATAGTTTCTAAAGGTGTTGACAGGTCGAGTGCGGTATGGAGACTAGTCGATATCGATGAATCATCCGAGAGAGAGAGAGAGCAAGAATAAATCCAGACTAAATCAATAGGGAGATGATCGCTGCATGTCGCGACCGTGATCTGAACGCTACCTGAATCATCATAATATTTGCATAATACTTCTTTTTGTCTCTAATGTTTTGCCTCTTCTGTTGCTCCTACTGTTGATTCACATCTGTACATTGTGTATATAGTATGTGTGAGGGAATGAGTGCATTACATGCGTTTGACAAAGGGATGCCTCGGCTTTTGAATTCTGCACTGGTTTTCCTATCCATTAACACATTACCTTACATACATGTGCAGACGACTGAAATATTAGCAAATAACAATGTCCATGTACATGTAAGTGGTACATTAAGGAGAGCGGCCATGATACCTTTCATGTGATTTAAAAAGTGCTCTGCACATGTAATACAGATCCTGTTATGAACTTCAAAAGAACAGCCTTTAATAAGAAGGAAATTTGAGGTATGCAAAGTTGCCAACCTGGATTTTCGGTAGGACTTTTTCAGTTGTGAAAACTTGAGTTTAGAGCACATGCATGTACATTATGTATTTTACCAATCCCTGCTGTTGAGAGTATCAGAAATCGGTGGATCGCTATATGACAATTGTAAAGTATGATAATGTTTTTGCAGAACATTGTATAAATAAATGCTGCATAATGAAATGTTGTAAAGCGTAAACGTACATGTATGTTGAGCATCATTTCAAATAGAAACTCGATTAATAATCGGCTCCCTGATTTTATTTTTCAAAGAAAGGTCAAACAGCGCAATGTTGAATACAGCGAAACGTATGTGTGAGCGTCGTTTCAAATGGAAACTCGATAAAGAACCGGGGTCCCGTTCTTCTCTGAACATAATATCGTAGCACAAACGTATAACTGGGCGGGGCGTAGCGTGGGAGCACATTGATGATTGGCCAGCTGCCTGTAATGTCAACTGACCTTTTTAAAACTATGGTAGTTTCTTTAAAAGTAATGTTGTTGCCCAGCTTGTATGCCCCACCCCTATACAAAGATTCTCCATATGACTTTTCCTTAGTTTTGTAGAAGTCCAAACAGGCTATTACTAGTAGACTTTTCTAACTCTGTTTGAGGAACTCCTCCTGAGTCCTGACAATGGCATTCTTTGTGGGAAAGTAATTTACACATGGTCGATTCCACCGTTTGATTGTACTTTACTCAAGTGGCATGCCAGAAGTTTACTCAGAGTTCACAATACCAGGCTTTGAGTTTGAAATTGAAGAAAATAGAGGTGTGTGTTGTGTGTTGAGCTACCTTATTTGATCGGTAATCCTTACGTGAAAAGGTACGGTAGCCATGCACCTGTTAAAAACGTATGGTTCATGAAGGGTGTAGATGTACTTTGGGGTACTTAGGAAAAGCTATATTTTCTTAAAGTTTTGAATGATTAATAAAACAACAAAGTAATGTGTAAAAAACTATGAAAATGAGCAGTATATCTAGAAGTTATTTATCATAATTAACTGCCTACTTTCTAATCATTTGTTAGTAGAACAAGGCATGTACATGTACATATACATGTACAGTACAGGTACTTCATAAGAATTATAACAATTGTCTTTATTTTCAACAAAAATTTAAAAGGAGGGGCATTGCTACATATACATGTATATCTCCTGTTAGATTAATTTTTGAAATTTAGGGATGGTTATAAAATTCTGAGCATACAGATACAGTACATGTAATTTGCCCTTGGATCTAAACAATGAACGCTGTTACATGTATATTTGTTCGCAGTATACTTTATGTAACTTATTATTCATTTACAATGAAGATGGAGATTCACTTTTATTTTATAGTTTAAGCAGAAGCTCCCTTTGTTTTTGCTGAAACTGAAAATGCATCTCTCCACAAGTGTTTTTGTCATCTGCTCTGAAAACCATTTATCTTTAAGTAACGAGAGGGAAAGTGAGAGAGAGAACTGGGTTGAGGGGGGGGGGGGCGGAAAAGAGAGAAAGATGGGGAGAGGGACTTGATAATCTTGTTGATGATTGATGGGAAGTTTTAATGTATGTTTTCTCTTATTTTTTGTCTTTGCTATAATCTCCAGGGTCGTCATGTCAAGACAGGGCAACTCGCTGCCATCAAAGTGATGGATGTTACTGAGGTGAGTCTGGGGTCTATTCACATTATATGTTACTACTTACTAGCATTATAAAATGTGTGGGGTGTATTCACATTCATATTTTACTAGCATTCCAAAATGTCTGGGGTGTATTCGCATTCATTTATTATAAGTGTTTTGAAACATGATGATTTCAAACTATGTTTTATGCAGTGTACTATCCAATCAAATTTGATTGTGTGAATACATGTAGGAAATTTGTACATCAGCTCTACATTTACCCACCGGATAACCTCTACCAAGAGATTGATAAATTTATAGAGAGAATAGAGCTGGTGACATTTAAGATGTCTTCTCCCTAAATCAGCCGCAAAACTAAATACTTGTATGTGTACTGCACCGATGGACATACATGTACGAAGGTAGGAAGGGGGGTACAACTTGTCCGTGCCCCCCCCCCCACCTTTGGAAGCCAGGTGGCATACCCTATAAAGTACAGCCACCCCAAAATGTGTCCTCCCCTTCAAATTTTTGACTGAAAATTCCACTGATAAAAACGTGATAACCTTTGTCATATTCCTTTTTTTTGTCCTTGCCAGACATTTATTTTATAAGTACATGTATGCCCCTTTATTTAACATTTATTTATTTATTAAACCTTTATTTAATTTTGGGATGTGTCCTTCTCACTTAAACTTTAGATATTACCAATAATTGTCCAATCCTACCTTGAAAGTTTCTGAAATAACAAGCACAGGTAGCTAGAGATTAACTCCAGCTTTTCTCCATTTTATTGTGGATGTTGAAGGAACCAATTAGGGTTGACAATGGAGGCCATCTCTCAATGCAGTGTGGTTATAATACCTTCTATTTGGATCATCGTTTCCTTGAGATCAGGTTATTTTTCATATGTTCACTGATTTGTATCGTTCATGTCAAGACTTGTCCCTGACAAGTTGCTCTAAAAAAACATATGAATAATGTGCACAGGTGTATGGTTTCTAGTTTAGTTTCTGTAATCATTTAGGTACACACTAGGCCCGTCTTCACTATCTCGAGATTGCCAAATATCCAGCTATTTGAACTATCCCGATCGCAAACTATCCAGCTATTTGCGTCTTCATTAGAACGAAGTAGCAAATTAGCTGGATAGTTGGTCGGGATAATATCCCAAGATATCTCGGTCTAGTTTGCAAAATATCCCACTATTTCCGAACTAGCGGGATAGTTTGCGACCGTCTTCATTAGACCGAAGTCCGGAGTCAAATATCCCGATCCCATCATGCACAACGATTTCCGGTTCGCACATGCGATCTATGCCGCTCAGCGCGCTAGTACAACCACTGACCTCGAGTAAGCACGGAAAACCGCAAACTAGACTGAGATATCTTGGGATATTATCCCGACCAACTATCCAGCTAATTTGCTACTTCGTTCTAATGAAGACGCAAATTAGCTGGATAGTTTGCGATCGGGATAGTTCAAATAGCTGGATATTTGGCAATCTCGAGATAGTGCAGACACGCCTACTGTATGTCTTCATCAGCTTGAGGTTGCCAAATAACCTGCTATTTTCAGACTCTGGATATTATCCCAAAGCTAAAAAATTGCGGCTTCACCAGACCGATACGCTCATCACAAACTAGCTTGGATGGGCTCAAATTAGCCCGCAGCGGGATGTTTTGGAAACAAAACCAAGATTTCTCAGGATATTTTCTCAACCAATTATTCCGCTAATTGCAACTGCTAGCTGATGATGACAGGCCTATGCTTCTTCTTTAAAGAGTACTTTGTAGAGATGAACATATTCACATATTTATTCTATCATTTTTTCCCTTCCAAATACATTGATTACTTGCAATTTTTGAGGGGGTGAAAAGATTTTGAAGAAATGTAACTTTGTGAAAAAACTCTCAAGGTTGTTGCTCATAATTCAAGGAATTTTGAAAGCTTTTAGAAAATTGACATTGACTTCTGCCACATTCAAACTAGAGCGCTTCAGATATACCATGGACATATAAGATACATGTAGATGGACATACATTCATATGTTCGGAACCATAAGGGTTTTAACTTAACTCTGTGTAATAGTAATACACAAATGTGGGAAAATCTGTGAAGGTCCTTATGGCTCCAAGTCCAAATGGACAATTGGACTTACATGTACATTTAATACCTGTAGTATAACAAAAATGGATCCATGGATCGAGTTTGGTATTGGTATTGCTTGTCATTCTCTCAAACGTGTAGGATCTGCAATATATACAAGTAGGTCTGTAAATGCAGGTATATATACTGCCAATATAAGTTTCGATGGGGATAGCAGTTGGCCAGACGTTTTGAGGTCAAAGGTCTGGCTTTGTGGTATACCATGGGGGACCCTGGATTCCAACACACCTTGTCAACAATCCCAGCAATTGCTCTCTTTCTCTCTCTTTCTCTCTCTTTCTCTCTCATTCTCTCTCTCTCTGTCTCTCTTTCTCTCTGTCTCTGTCTCTCTTTCTCTCTCTATTTCTCTCTCTTTCTATGTCCCCTCTTTTTCTCTCTCTCTCTCTCTCTCTCTTTGGATTTATTCCTTTCAAAACAACATCCTCAATATTGGCTTGGACTTATAATATGGTCAGGTAGTCTAAATTTCAGGCTAAGCAATTTTCCCCTCCCTCAAAGAAAATGTCGGTGTGGGGTCAGCCTGCTCATGCAGCCATCAAAACTAGTTCGTCCTGCGTAATCCTCCTAAATTAAACCCAAGTAAAAACAAAAAAAATCTGACAGATGAGTGCCATACAAAAATCCACTATTATTAAAATTGAGATGGGCTATAATTAGAAAGAAATTAACTACAAGCAATTCATTTTGTGATCAACTGAGTACAATTAAAACAACATTTTGTCTTCCAAATCCCTCTTAGCAGCTTTTAAAAACCCATTGCAATGCCACCTGATGATTGTAAGATGATAAGTAGCACTTCAGTTACTTTTAGCAGTCCTCTGTCATAGAACCCCTGCTCTACATTGTATGTGCTCCTAAACAAACAACAACCAAAACAACAAACATGTTGGTGAAATTGGAAAAGGTTGATTTTGTTGTTGTTGTTGCCTTGCATTTCTCTAATTCTCTAGATTTGATGGTGGATGTGCAGATTATTTTGGCCTGAATATTTGGCTCAGTATCGTGATGCCAAATACATGTATTTTCACTGAGATTAGCCTAGTAGATTAGCCATCAAAATTTTTGAAACCTGTGATTAATTAATATAGATGCATGAAGGCCAAGGTAAATTTAGAAATATAAAAATGCTGTATTCTATTTACAAATAATGCCTCTTTCAAAAGATCCATTAAAACATACTTCTTCCCTCAGTAACTCACATTTGTTAATACGATGTACCTATTTTTATGTGTTTCACGTTTCATCTTCACATTCTTTAGTTTTTTTAAGAGCTATGGTAAATTTGGTTTAGTGCTCTCAAATGATAAATATTATTATTATTATTGTTATTAAATAATACTAGATATCGGTTCTGAGTTGTGCTGGCAAAATTCTGAAAATATCAAAACACAGTTTATGTGAGTGCACTGTACATGTATTGTGCAATACCGTGTAAGTAACAATAAAGATCAATAGGCTTTGAAATTTCACACCAAATTGTGAAAGCCAGCTGTAAAAAATAGATCACTTTCATCGCCTCTTTTTGTTCAATCAATATATAGTCCAGATTTTTTCTTTAAATCTATGCGTTATGTAGCAACTTCCATGAAAAGTAAGGGCTAGACTGTTCTAGGGAATATCCAGGAAGCGCTGAATTCTAGGAAACATTGACCTTTAAAAAAAATTGTTTAAATCTAAACAAAATATGAAAAGATATTATACATGTACATATGGTTTAGAAACTGAGGACGATAGGGCCTGTTAACTCTTAAAAGGCGTAGAAATAGCCACCAGAAAATTTCATGTACATTTCTTTCAATGACTACAGTACATGTACAAATGTACAGGCATGCACGTTAAATGCAAAACGTCTCTGAAAACAATCATTTTGTCTAAGAGTATCAAAAGAGTAGCCCTCATGAATACAATTTGTAATATCTCCCCCCCCCCCTTGTACACTGAACATACAGGCATACATGTACATGTAGGCAGACTCCAGACTATTCAAATGTGTATTGAGCTAGTAGTTAGTATGTTTTAAAGTACTGTAGGCCTACATGCATGTACATGTACAGTGTACATCGTATATTTTGCACAAAAAACCATGGACAGAAGAACTAGTTTTGAAAGTAGTGAAGCACCGTAAATGTAGATCGAGAGGTCATAACTGGGGCCAAGGCTGGCCTACCAATACATCAAAAGGTATTTGTGGGACTATATATAGGTTTTATCACTCTGTAGGCCTACAGTGCCTGTTTCAAGTACCTGCGTACTGCGTTAGCCCTACCTACATACTGTACATAATACAATCTATATTACTAATACGCAAAATCGCCGCGGGGGGTCCAACACGGGCCAAAACGGTTCCTCAAAAACGTCTTTCCCCGACCCCGCCCGCCTCCGCCGTGGCGCGGGGAGGGCGGCACAATTCCACGAGGCCTGTCTCCCGTAACCCGCGTGCCACGTCGACCCCGCGATCGACGTCCATGCCGTTAAACGCGGTTTCGGGGCGGCCGGGGAGGACGGGCGGACGAGAGCACGGCGGGCGTCGCGGATTGCGAGGAGGCGACGAACCCGCGAGAGCGAGTCGGCAAGGCGTGCACCCGCCCTCTGTCTAATTATCAAAGAGAGACGAAGAGACACACGATGGACGAGAATCCACTCGCGTCAACGGGTGTAGCAAGTCTCATTGTAAAGGCTGCGGCATATCCCGAGTAAGGCCTCTTGCTATAGGATTCGCTTTGTAGCGTGTAAGAGAAATACACATCAACAGACGACTCACCCGGTTGATGGGATGTAGCCAATATGTACGCTCAACGGGTTGAACTGACCCGTGTTATGCGTCTTTCTATAGGATATGCTTTGTAGGCCAGGCGCCCACAGTGTACGTGTAT